GATTCTTTAAATTTATAATTTCAAGTTTTTTAAGGATACTTATTCCCCCCCCCCCCCCACTCCCAGTCAATATTTGGTTACTCTTCATACTCCCAGATGCCTATCCAGTGTCCATGATCTAACAGAACATATCTGTTGTCAAAATGTCAGATTTCGTTGTCTCATACATGAAAAAATAACGGACAACACAAGCTTATATTACAGATTCACTTTAAGCAAAAGAATCCCAACAATCGTACAGTACAGCTCCCACACACCGGAAGATGAGTGAGGAAATGGCTGTATTGACAGGAAGTATCTTAACACCCTGCCAAGCAGTGTTGATATTAAACCCAGCCTGTAGTTTATTTGTTTTTTTTTTCATATATAGTTGGTATTAAGAATTTTTTCTTTAAAAAGCTACAAAGATATACATGTATCATATTGAATCAAGATCCAATACTGGGGACCAAATACATGTAGGAACAGTAAATATGAATTTTTACTTGTAATATTAACACAAAATTTTCAAGATAAAAATATCTTTCTTTTGAATGAAAGTATGATCATTTAAAAATCGTTTTAAAAGTTTTTTTCATCATTGATAGCAAAATATTTCATGATGTTCAACATTTCAATTTGATGATTCCTTGAATCTTGTTAGTCAGTATTTGGACTCAGTTGTTCACTGAAATAAGAAAAAACTACATCAGTAATGCTAAAGTATTGTAATGACACGAAAAATTGACGTTTTCAATCACTTCTCATGGCCGTAGGAACCGGGGGGGGGGGGGGGTTCATGCCTCCCAATTATTTTGCCGATATATAGAATACTACAGAAAACAATAGAAAACATAGCTACTTTATGCTTGTGCCCCCTCAATAATAACATCTGTTGACCTTTTTTATTTGCTTGTCAGGGAAATTTGGAATTTTTGGTAGTACCCCCTAAACTGAAAATGCTTGGTTATGCCCCCCCCCCCCCCCACTGAAATTGCTTCATACGGACCTGCTTTCTTAATCATTTTGAATGTCTTTAAAAAGTAAATCTGATATACTGGTATGTAAATGCTAAACTATAAACTGTTCGTTCAGTATAGAAAAAAGTGACAAACCCATTAATGTTCTTATTTTCTGTAAGTATTTGAGTATACTTCACGTCCACGCTTATATCTGACGGAACCGTTTTACTGGCATATATCCAGTCTTTCCAATTCCTCGTCCATATAACAAGGCTGATTAAGCAAACTAATGATGCGCATCTCAAACCGAAGGAAAATCCGTTGAAAGAAAGTCGGAAAGATCGAAGGTCATAAAGTTCACGCGCACCGGAAGCTGTGCGCGGAAACTTCCAAATGTGACAGGAACCATCTAGCACCTTGCCAAAAAGTTTTGGTGATAATTCCCAGCCTGTAATACATTAATCACACACTAATCAGTAAAATAAGAAAGATGTATTTTGTTCTATCGACACAGGTTATAAGTATATTGTACTTTTCCTTATTTATTTGTGTTCATCATGTACATGTACTTTACTGTAATAATTATACGACCAGCGTCTACATACATACCAATTTGAGTATTTTGAAGGTTATAATTACTATACAATCAATCTGAGATTATGGTTTACTATTTTTACATGTTATTCTTGAATTATTAATTTTTCAAAAAAAAAAAAAAAAAAAAAAGAAAACATATTTTATAACTTGTTTCTAGTTAGTTTTAAAATTTAAAATATTTCAATAAATGGACACATATGCCCCTCAGTGCTATAACTAAGTACATAAAGTTTTTTTATGTTTACTTAATGAAATATTTCAAGATAACGGACAGTAATCAAGCTCAAAGTCCATTGAAACAATTCAATTAGGAGCAAAGCAAACACGGGCCTATAAATATAATAGAGTTGGGATCCGATATTAGAGGAGTAACACATCCCCTGCCGACTGGTCATACTCGCCCTCTATTCCTTGTCATGATTGGCCATACGGGAAAAAAATCCGTAGACAATACCGTGTGAAAATAATGGCCCAAAAATTTGTATGCATAAACGTCATTTAACATTCAACTTAACGATAGATTGTAGTTGCAAACAAGGTCATTTTATCGACCATAGAATTTGCAAAATGTTGACTTTGAATGAGACTGTTGATATTCTTGTTTCTTCAAGTTTGTCAGTAGCTTGCCTCGTTTCAGAAATTGTTCGTTCGTAGAACGTGCTTTATCGAATCAAATACGAGACTCCATATGCAGGTGAAAATGGTGTATTGCTACATAAATAAGGGAAGTTGGCGATAGAAAAGTTGAAATCATCACGGTTCTTTTTTTCTTTTTTTTTTGTAATGTTTGCCATTAATGTCTTTTTCTAGTAGAATATCCATATATGTGACAGATGTGCCAGACTCTGTTGTGCCTTTCATTTCTAGTTCAAAAGGATATATCGAATCAACGTAGGACTGAAAATGCCTAGTGTTAGTTGATAAATACATCTTTGATATATCCAAATGTCCACAAGAACTTCTTCTTTTCATATAGAAGCTTCTTACGAATACAAAAATGGACCTGCTAGTAACGGGGCGAAATTAGAACCCATGGGATATCCAACAGATTGTTGGAAAACTTACATAGGTATTGTCAATCAGAATCTCAAGCATCTTTTAAATATCAGCTTCGGAGTACTTTTGTGTATAATCAGAATGTTTTCTCCAATGTCAGCATCTGACAAATTATTTTATTCCAATATTCTCGCGACTAATATTTTGCTCTAAAAGACATGATGTATTGAAAAGGGTTTCCAGAATGCATACACTACTATCTATTTAAATTTTTATGATAAGTCTTAAAGAAAATAATTTTCCAGAAAATATTGGGATATTTTATATGAAGGATTTAATGGATTCTTACCAAGAGCAGATACTAAACAACTGTTAAGGCCAAACGCTGATGCTTTGTCCCTGTCATCAACAGATCTAAAAAAAAATTGAGATACATTCAAATATTTAAATACAGTTTCTTTTCGTAAGGGATTTTCTCAAGCCAGACATTTACAGTTTAAAAAAACTTTAAAAGCATTTGATTAACACATAAATGGTGCTCTGACAAGGATACAAGGATAGGATTTTCATATTTTCTTCCAGACATTGAGCAGCAAAATGATTTCGGCTACTTTAACAAAAATGAACGATATTCATGCAGGCAAATGAAAGACAATCAAAACTATTTAAATTGCGACGGAAACCGTTACAGACGTTCCACAAACGCCTCAATCCCTTTTGTTGGTTCATTCCCTATAAGCTTCATAAAATTATGGTGACGGAATGGGTATAGGCAAAATTTAAGTGAAGTTTGCTAATAAAAATATGCAAATGTTAATAGTGCATTCTAATTTTTCAAATTTATCCCAATAAAAGATAGCAATAAAGGCTAATTTAAGGAAAACGGAATATGCCCATTATACTTAATGATCTGGCATGCACCAGGAACAAGATGAATTCATCAAGCAAGGAAAACAATATAGCCTTTGTGAAAAATATTGCGTGTAACTAATTTTTCTTGATATAACCATTCCATCCCTATAAACCCAATGATTGAATACTGTCTTATTCCACTACCTCTTGACATTTAATATTTGCATAGAAACAATGATTTTTTTATCATAATTTTCTATAGATACTCTATGATAGCAATTGGATTCGCTGATATTATCATCGCCTCTGATATGCTGGCGAGGAAAATAAAGATGACCCATGGTATCAGATTGGGACAGTTGGATTCACAGAATCCAGCCTCTGTTTGACCATCGGGTATACAGGAACAACTGGAGAACATCTAGAATAAAAATATGGCTAAGAAGAAATTAGAGAAAGGTGCTTAATTCTAACTTTTCAAAATAATTGGTTGATTGATTATATGTTGTTTTACGTCCCCTTCGAGAATTTTTCACACATATAGAGACGTCACCATATACCGATGAAGGGCTTCAAATTTAGACCTTTACTCGGCACTCAGGGTCATTGAGCAGTGAGTATTCTTCATTGTCCCAACGCCTACCGTGACAAGAGACCTCGGTTTTTAAGGTCTCATCCGAAGGACCCGCAACTTTCACTTCAACGTGTCGAGCGCTTGGAAAAGGAACAGTTGCTACCTATTATTTTAATCGACTTAGGTCAGTCGCGGCCGTGATTCGAACACACGACCTTCCGATCAAGGAATGAGCGCTCAACCCACTGAGCTACCATGACGATGACTTTTTCATAACATGTTACAAAAGTCCAGAAGTGAAATCATTAAAAAAGTTAATTCAAAACACTGATGTTTATCAACATTCTGTAAAAAATACTTACACGACCATGTCTGTACAATTCTTGGCATCCGGCAAAACATGGAGAATGGTAATTGACCTTATTTGAACCGCATATAGGGAAAAAAATTGTCATCTTGACATGTGCAATTAAGTGAGTAATTTTGTGAGGAAATGTCGATATACCCAGGGATACTGAAATTTTAAAAAGAATATAAATTGTCTGATAATGTTGCCTTTTTAAAAAAAAATGAATTTAATCCTTATCATTCGAAGCTAATAAAAAGCAACGCTAATTATAAAATGTGGAGATAACGAACAGTAACCAAGCTCAAAAGTCCATTGAAACAATACAAATCGGGAACAGAGCAAACATGGACCTCTAAAAAACATCAAAGGTGGGAACAGGTGCCATGAAGGAGCAAGCATCCTCTGTCGACCGGTCACACCCGTCGTGTGCTCATTGTCATGATCGGGTAAACGGAAAAATCAGTAGACAATTCAGTGTTTAATTAATAACCTGATAATTCGTATGTAAATGATGATATATGTTAATACCATTTAATTTTTTTTTTAAATTTATTGCACAAAATCATGTCAAATATAATTCATGTATAGATTTGATACCTTAACGTACCGGAAGGTAGGATCATAATTATAAACCCTATTCCTTACGGAGATGGTATGAACAACAAACTTACTAAGTGCTTAAAACCAACACTCACTTTACTCGTGGACCAATGATAGTTGGCTGTGGGCAACTCAAGGCCATGGCGAGAGCGAAGTAAATTATATTGAAGGTATAGAAGCCTAAGATCATCCCATAAACGTTTCTGGGGGTCATGGCTATTTTCCTTGTGACGATACCTCCCAGAAATGAACCGGAAGCCACTACTGACATATTAGCGCCAGCTAAATTATAAAGTAAAATTTATATTTAAAAAAATATAACAAAAAAAAAATTAGAATACGAAGGTTCATGTCTTAAAAATGCTCTTTTTTCTTATTAACTCATGCAAAAGATGTACTTTGATCAAAATGGTTAGTTCATTCTTACCTAATATGTAGTTGCCAAGAGACAGTGGTATATTGAAATGTGTCTTCACAAATTTGGCCGAGAAACCATGGAATTCCCCGAAAGACATTATGTTGAAGATTTGATTACTTGACGTGAGAAGAAAAACTGGATTTCGAACCACTTTCCAATATCCCTTGATGCTCACTGAAAAAGAGCATACCTGTTACTAATAACATTAATTAATGGAGAGAAGAATTAGAGATTAAAGAATACGTGCACTCTAATTTAAAGTTTTTATCTGGTGTTTGATGTGAACTTAGTAAAAGAACTCTCAGAACATGATTGTCAAGAGAAGGAAATCTCATTTCTTTCGTTATCAAACTGTTCTCAAATTTATCAATCAATACTTTATTACAAGTATTCACACTTTCTTTAAAATATACGCAGTGTATATAACCAGATTTTCTCTCAGATTCTTCAAATTTTTTTTTTTTTTTTTTTTTTTTTTTTTTTTTGAAAAAAAATATGTACGTGTAATTTTTACCCACATTTTAGTTTCTCGGAAAATGAACTTTCCTCAATAACTGGCCTTTCTTGAACTTTTCCCTGTGCTATATCTTTTTTGGACATTTTCAGTTGTCTTAGAAACAGAGCCAGAGGGAATGCTAGGATGATGGACATCGAACCAAAGACAAGAAAACCCAACCACCAAGCTCCTATCCAGCGGAGATCACGTGTGTCCATATCAACATCTTCGACAGAAAAAATACCATATACCGTAACAAACACCTTTGGTTTTTACTTATTTTGAAATTATTTTTAAAAATAATTTTATCAATATTCTTGTACATCGTGATAAACAAAAATAAACAAACAAAAATAAAAAATAAAAAAATTAAAATTAAAAAAATACCAACAGGACTTTTTTGAGTGAAATTGAAAATTTATTACTTCTTTGGGTTTTTGCTTAAAGGATTACTTGACCTGTACAAATAACAGACAATAACCTCTTTCAGACGTAAATGATCCCCAATCCCAGCATCAACATTACTTCACCCCTTATGTAATATGCTTACTTGAAAAAATTTGAAAATATATATTTCCGAACTGTTTAAAATAGTAAAAACTGTTTAGAATTTTAATACGAAAGCAAAGAAAATCACTGGATACTTAAATTTGGAAGACAGATGCAAAGTTTTGATTTGTTGATTAGGGATGGCAATCGAATGTAGAATGCTAATCGGTTAACCGCAGGACGTTCCGACCGATTAACCGGTTAATTGTATCAAAATACATGTACACAATTTTCTGATTTTTATACAGTAAACTCTATTCATATACACAAGAAAACTAATAAAAGGACGTTTGTAGTATTATGTGTATGATTTAACAATAATCTTCATGTATTTTACATCAATTTCAAAAGAAAAAAAGGAAACTATGAAAAATCCTTAAGATATCAAAGACATTGACAAGGCCATTCTGCCTTATCACCATAAACAGAAACTGAGTTTTAACTACGTGTGTCTTAAGATATCAAAGACATTGACAAGGCCATTCTGCCTTATCACCATAAACAGAAACTGAGTTTTAACTAAGTGTGTATTACTTAATTTACAATGTTTGTTTAAAAATACATGTATAATTTAACAGATAATTGCAAAGGGTAGATGTTGACCGGGTAATATATATTTATATATATAATAATCAGAGTTCACCGTACACGGTTATTTAATTATTATCAGTTAAGAAATAAACGACAGACTGAGTAAGGACATGGTGTTAACCGGTTACAAATTGCTAACCCTATTTTTGTGTTCAACCACTTTACTTAAGATATTTTTATCAACCTTCTTCTCTATCTCTTGATACAAAAAAGTAAATGGTCGAAGGGAAGGAACCATCCTTGCTAGCTGAGGAAAAGCCACTGTTCTTCTTTTCCTTCATTATAGCTTTCTGGTTTGTTTCCTTTGTCGGTACAATTTAAAGTTAAGAATAGGAGTAATCCCCTGTTGCTGTAAACTCACCAATGGATAAGAACGTACATGAATTACTTAATTGTTGTATGATATTGACAGACACGTGCACGATATCTAAAAGACGAGTGGTTACCAATTTTGATTAGTGATGAATATTACAAGTAAGTTCACAGTAATCCAGGCCTACCTGATGGTGTATCAAGCTAAAAGCCTAGTGGATAAAACTTAATCAAACAAACTTACCTTCCAAAGTTATGTATAGTCTGCTGAAATATCCACCGAGTCCAAATGCAATTGCTGGGCCAAAAAATGACGAGGCAATGGCAATACCTAATTATCATATAAGGCAAATCTAGTTTTGAAATCCGTTCATATTTGTTCTAGCTAACATCATAAATAATAATATTGTCAAAGTACATGTACCTGAGTAAAATCCTGTTTTTCTTCGGTCAATGTTGTCATCTACATAAACCATGTAATAGGGGCCCCGTGAGGCTTTTCCGATGCCCTATAGGGTCATACCGATCCCAATCAAGACCACTGCAAGATTCTTAATTGAATAAATCGATGCAGTTAAAACTTTATTTGTGTGTTTTGTAACTAGATTGACACTCTTCTTCTGTGACATTGAACCCAGGACGACAAAGATTTACTTTGTTGCTATTTTTTGTGGCATTTGTGGCAATAGAATCTAAGTTCAGAGATTCAAGAGGCCTCGCGAAACAACAATGAAGTGGGGGTGCTACATGTAAGCCCAGAAATTCCGTACAGTAAAATACAAAAGAATAACATGCTCGGAATGTGAACAAACCTAGCAGCAGCCGACACAAATTAAACAACCGCCAAAAACCCTATATCATTGAAGACCATTACTAGTCCGCTCTGAGCACTATTTAAACCAAATTGTCGCTCCAGATTTGGTACCTGTGTATTAACATTAGCAACAAGAGTCTGAGATATCATGCCAACTATACTATAAATTACTACAAACGCATTGATGTTGGCAAAGTGCTGAAGAAATTTCGGTCGAAATTTGCCGATTCCATATTCAAAGTCTTCTTCACGGGTTGCAACCATTTTGCTGCACAAAAAAAGACATTAAAATTAGTTTATCTCAATTCCATAGATTGGATGAGGCTATGATTCTCTTTTGAGCTATGGATTAATTTTCTAGCTAGTTAATAACTAACAATTGCTGCAGTGAAAATCCGAAGAAGTAAATAACCATCTGTACTGTACGTTACAAATACCTTTAAAATGTTTCATTATATGTTATATAATGTAGTGTTTTAATAAGTACATGTACATGTATTTAAAACTCAGACGGGATTTTAATGAGTATTAAAACTCAAATGCGAATTAAAATATTTAGTAGAAAATTTTATATAAACGTTTATATACTTACGCTCTATATAATTGATATCCTTATTAACCTAAAGATCATATACTCGACCCTTTAATTATTTCAGACATTGTAACACAATTTATATTATCACCCTGGCATAGGCAGAGAGCTATCAACATGATCAAAGATATTGATTTCGGATCTCAGTATCAATTAGTAACAGCAGGCCCGTAGGAAGCGATTTCAGTTTGGGGAGCACAGGCAAACATTTTCAGTTGGGGGGGGGGGCACTATCACCTACAATAAAAAAAAAGAAAAGGTCATAGCCGTTTTTATTGAGGGGGCACGATCATATAGTAGCTAAGTTTTATAAAGTATTCTATATATTGGCAAAATTAGGGGGGGCACGCCCCCCCCCCCCCCCGTTCCTACGGCCATGAACAGGTTGGAACGCATTTAATTAAGGACAATATAAACTTTTATTGCTGACTATACTTGTAACAAGATTAAAAAAACTAATAGGAAAGACAGTTTGTGGTGCAGTTTGTGGTCTTGTTTCAACCAATCCACTCAGAGAGGAAGATTACCATAAAATTGAATTTTTATTAAAAATATAGATGAAAAATATTATGCTTTGCATGTGGAGTATTATATCATATTTTTATTTCAAGGTAGAAAAGTATAAAAAATTTTATTTAAAAATGTTTACATTTACAATTCAGCCCCACATATTGCAAGATCAATATAAATGACATAACTTAGTCTTTGTGGCAAATAAATAATAATTCTTGTTTATCTAAATTAGAAATAAGAGGATAGGAATGTTTTATCACCAAACGAAAGAGACAAATAGCCTTATACCCAAAATTTATATATACCAACTAGTTGCTGTCCTTCAAAAGAAAGTGCAATACGTGGAACATAAGCAAGTGTTTCTAACAGAAAAAAAAAATAAAAATAAAAATAACTTGTTGTATTTAAACGTGTTGTAAACTTCTTATAAACATCAAAAGTGACTACTAAATTATGAACTTGGTTAAAGGTGGCTATGACATAAATAAATAACGTAAATAAAAACTTTTCGCTTCATTTTTACGATATTTGCAGGAATAGCTAACTACTCACAATGAAGGATATCAGCTTATGTAGATTATTTCTTATCATAAACTTTCACTTAGAGTACATATTTCTGTTGATTTACTAAATATTAATATAAGCCTTGCATGTTTATTCAAAGAAGATTAAATTTTTACTTTAAAAAAAATCTAAAATCAAAGGGCTGAAATGACTGGATGTTAAGAAATCATTGTTTGTTTGTTTGTATGTTGTTTAACGTCCCTCTCGAGAATTTTTCACTCATATGGAGACGCCACCACTTGCCGGTGGAGAGCTGCAAATTTTGTCCTATACTCGGCACTTACGGCCATTGAGCAGTGAGGAATCTTTTTCATGCCAGCACCTACTGCGACACGGAACCTCGGTTTATACGGTCTCATCCAAAGGACCGGTCTCCACGTCCCACAGTGGGATTCGAACCCGCGACGTAAGGATCAACTCCTTACACCGCGACTCTAGAGCAGACGCTCTAACCATGCCACGCGGGCGACTATGAAATTATTGAACTGTCTGCTAGAAATAAAGAAAAAAACTTTTTTATATACTATAAGGCGTGAATATAGGTTATTTATTATAATTATTATTATTTATGATGATAGCTTAGTTTATCTATGCTACTTCTTTGTATTTGTATTACCTTAGTAGCACTGCATTTCTGTTAGTTCTAGAAATGATAAAAGCTGTCTTTGTTGTAGCGGGAAGATGCATTTGCTATTTCTGTTATAAACTTATTTTTCTATGGGTACACATGTAACTTTATAGATAGAGAATTACTGATGGGATGGTTTCATAATGGGAATTCTCGCCTCGACCTTTTAGAAGGACACTTTTCCTTATGAGTGACAACGGATCCATGTATTTTTGACTCAATCTATTCAACACACATCTTTGGTAGGATCAATATAAGTTACGAGAACAGCAGTTCTGTCTTAGAAAATAAAATGCCAAGGAGGAAAGGGGTTCCTAAATGTCATATGTGATTTATAATTGAATGTTGCTTTACGTCATTTTAGAATTTTTCACCCAGATAAAGAGATCATCCACTTAAGGAGGAATGCCACACCAAACATTTATTTCATAGACCTTTAAGACATCCCTGATAAGTAGTGGTTTCAGCATTAAAAGGCCAATATTAGCTCTTAATTATGTAATAAGAATTTTTTTCCTATTTTTCATAGAAAATGGAAAAAATTTTTATTTGCAAATAAGATACGTAAGGGTTAAAAATTTGCTGTTAATAAATGCATAATATGAATGTCTAATAAAATATGTTAATAAAGGCTGGATAGACATTTTAACTTTTTGAATAAAAAAATATTTATGAAAATAAAACACATAATTTGTGAATGTTTTTAAACCTATTGTTAAAATCTTCATAAAACTAGACACAACTAGGGAGAATATGTTAGGCAATCATATTTTAAAAAGAAATTGAAATGAAATTGCGAAATTTTAGAGAATTTTTTTTTTTTAAATTTTGGCCAATCCCGATCGAAATTAAACTGATCCCAACCAGAATTTTGTAATAATTGGAAATAAATAACATTTTCACAAGAATACTAGTTTGTTTAGGTGTAATACAGGTTAAACAGTAATAGAACTTGATAATCAAATAGATTTCTTAGTGCTAAATACAAAAAGAAGGCAGTAAATTATCATTTTATTTATCATGTGTTAATTTTGATCGGGATCAGTTTAATTTTGATCGGGATTGTTTCAAATATTAAAAAAATTCTTTTCCCTAAAATCCCTCAATTTCATTTCAATTTCTTTTTGATCATTTACATTTAGAAACATGCATAGAAACTTGATGTAAATAGACCTACCCTCAATTTTTTTCTTTAATTGACGGCCGTTTGTGATCTCTAAATCATGTGACTCAGATAATCGGTGTTGAAAAAAAAACATCAAAATTATGAAATAGACAAATAAGTTTATGCTACAAAATTTTTAATTATCTCGTTTCAACATTTTTAAATTCTGTGGTCGGTATAATGACCTTGTTTGCAATTACTAATACAACCTGTCATTGGTTCATATTTTGACTCAGATGTTTTCCACCAAATGTTAGGCCATTGTTTTTATACAATTTTGACTTCAATAACTCCATTTAACTGACCAATACTAGATCGAGGGCCCACGGCGGGTTTAACCGTCGACAGGGTATGCTTACTCCTCATAAAGGCACCTGATCCCACCTTCAGGGGTCCGTTTTTTGTCCTTTTCACAATTCGCATTCTTTACTTGATTTTTTTTTTATCATTTTGTTGCTTTTTTCCCCGCTATCTTAACCCTTTTCAAAATATTTTTTCTGCCGATGTTTGCCACATTTGATGTGATTTACAGAGAGATGAGCAATTTTTCGACGGCGACTATAATTCAACCAGAAAAGAGAAAAACTCATGGATGCCTTGAAAATATTAAATATGTTATGCATACTGTACTATATAAACTGTAACGATTCAATAATTAATGCATGGCTGGACAAAACAAAATCACACCCGTCCCATATTCTACCCTCTCTTCCTATATCTCTCTCTCATGTATTTTAATAGTTTCATACGTATTCACAGTCATGACAACGTTACTTACATAAACTGTGCATTGTATATATACACATTTAATCCAGGTTTAAATTTTAGATCTAGAGAAGACAAAATAAAGTCTGAACGTATTTTTAGTGAGTGAACCAATATTTGGTGAGTATAATTCCTATGCTAAAATGAGAATTTTAAATGGAAAAAAGATAAAACAGTAGCGGTATGGTCCATATGTGCGTTAATAGAAAAAAAAATCACAGGTTAGATTCCAAATCAAAATAACAGAAATTCAACAACAAAAAAAAGAAGAAGAAAATTTTACTTTTCTTGGGGGTATAAATTAGTTAATATTTCCATGGTAAAGTTTTTACTGGCAATTATTATTCAGGGGATATAACAGTAAATTTCCTTTCTTTTCTATAGTAAATGAACTGACAAGGATACTTTTTACAGCAATTTGTTGGTACATATAAATTTTGGGTATAAGGATATTCTATTTATCTTCTTCGTTTAATGATAATAGCATTTCTATCCTTTTATCTCTAATTTTCATATACATGAATAATAATTTATTTGCACCAAATATTAAGGTATGTCATTTCTATTGATCTTGCAATATGTGGAGCTGATTTGTAAACATTTGAAATTTAAATATATTTTTTTTTATAAATATTTATACTTTTCTACTTTGAAATAAAAATATGCAGTGCAGTATTAAAAATTCAAGAGTATTTTCTTTGGACTCTTTCTTTTGGAAGTACTTTGAAATGCTTCATTAAAATTTGTACGGGCATTGAAGGCTTTGCAATAATTTCAACTTATTAAGGTAGGATATAAACTACCACGCAAAATATGCTGATAAGAATAGAATATCCACAGCACCAGTGTGTTCAGTGAAAAGGAAAACTGAAAATAAATGACCTGTAATTTCTCTGCTAGTTTCAGAGTTCTAAATATAATTCCACAACACAAATTTCAGTTTTGAAAAGATAATATATTAATCTCAAGTAAAAACCTTTACATAATCTAATTCTTCCTAGACTCCTAACACAAGTATGCATAACAACACATCATGATTTCATAATTTCTATGTCTTTTTTGGGCAGTAAAATGGTTGCAACCCGTGAAGAAGACTTTGAATGTGGAATCGGCAAATTTCGACCGAAATTCCTTCAGCACTTTGCCAACATCAATGCATTTGTGGGAGTGTATAGTATAGTTGGCATGATATCTCAGACTCTTAGCGTCTACGTTAATACACAGGTACCAAATCTGGAGCGACAGTTTGGTTTGAATAGCGCCCAGAGCGGACTAGTAATGGCCTTCAATGATATAGGATTTTTTACGGTTGTTTTATTTGTGTCGGCTGCTGCTAGGTTTGTACACATCCCCCGCATGCTATTTTTATGCATTTTATTGTACGGAATTTCTGGACTTACATGCAGCATCCCCCACTTCATCGCTGTGTCAAGAGGCCTTTTGCCTACTCTGAACTTGGATTCAGTGGTCACGAACGCCACAAAAAATAGCGATAAAGTGAACCTTCTTTGTCGCCCAGGGTTCAATGTCACTGAAGAAGAGTGCGAATCTAGTACAGAACACCCAAACAAAGTTTTAACTGCACCGAGTTATTCAATTAAGAATCTTGCATTGGTCTTGATTGGGATTGGTATGACCCTACAGGGCATTGGAAAAGCCCCACGGGGTCCCTATTACATGGTGTATGTTGATGACAACATTGACCGAAGAAAAACTGGATTTTACTCAGGTACATATAATTTTACAATATAATTATTATTTACTTAGAATTAGTAAAAAGAAAATGATAGCTAAAATATTGACAGATTTCAAATGTTGATTTGCTTTAAATTATATAATATGTAGGTATTGCCATTGCTTCGTCTATATTCGGTCCAGCAATTGCATTTGGACTCGGGGGATACTTCAGCAGACTGTACATAACTTTAGAAGGTGAGTTTGATAAAGTTTCAAGTTTGAATAATAAAGAACTGGGAGAGTTCACTAGGTTTTTCACCTTGACAGCTTATCAGGTAGGCCTGAATCTACTGTGAACTTACTGGTAATGGCACTAATTAAAATTCGTAAACATTCGTCTTTCACCTTTCGTGTTTGTCAGTATTATACAGCAATTAGGTAGTGCATGTGTGTTCTCATCCAATGGTGAGTTTACAACAAAATGGAATTTTTCCTATTGTACCAGCAAGAAAACCAACATACCGGATTTCTATAATAAAAGAATACAAGAAAAGTGACTCTTCATCAGCTAACAAGGATGATTCCTTCCCTTTAGTCATTTCCTTTGTATCAAGAAATAGAAAAGAAAGTCATAAAATACTTAAGGATATCCGATCCTCAGCCAGGAAGGATAACTCTTAAATTTATTATTTTATTTAAAAAGTCTTAAAATGAATCTTGAAACTCAGATTTTTTCGTGCAACAATTATCATTTTATGCATCTTAATATGATTCAAGGTTCTTTGAAGTCTTAGAAACAGTCTTGTAAAAAGTTGACATTAGTACCCCATAAAAGAAAAAAATGAATTCATTTTTAGAGAAATCGACTTTCCTTTAGTCAAGCATTAGATACCACTGCTTATTAGCATGGTATGAAATTAGATGTGATATGTGATGTCTAGCAATGATACTACAAGCATTTTACACTATGTATTATATGACAATTGAAGTAAAAAGAACTAAAATACTGTATAAGCATAAAAAAGATGCAATTTTCTCAAAATGCCTGGATACCTATATTTTTCTATCCTAAATTATATTTGTTGATCAATTTTCAATTAGAAAATGCATAGCTGTTGTTTTTATTCGCATTTCCTGAAATTATATTTGAGATTTGATAACTTTCCCATTATAATATGATTAACTATAATGATGAACTTGAAAGAAATACCATGGATAAATTCACGTTACTATGTGAAATCAGAGACATTTTTGTGAGCATTTTCAATTACGTAAAAGCTGAATTTCAGAACCTGAGGATTGGACTACCTTAAGGTAAACTGATTGAAAACAAATCAAATCTTAACATCTGTCTTTAAAAAATCAGTTACTTAAGAATCCAAGATTTTTTTTAAAATTCTAAATAGTCGTTTACATTTTAAAATGTTCTGAAATTAAACCTATCACGTATAACATTTTGTCATGTGAGCGTATTATATAAAGGGGTAAAGCAATGTTGCATCAGCTGGAAATGAGGGTCAATTTCCTTTGAAACAGTTTTTGTCTTAGGTTTGCTCTAGTTTAAGTTTGATACTGTTTTAGCAAAAAGCCAAAGAAGTAATAAATGTACCCTTAGAAAAGTCTTTCTTTTCTTCCTTTTCAAATTAAAAAAAAATATTATTATTATTATCTAGTTTTTTGCCTTTCATGATGTACTAGTATATTTATAAATAATTAAAAAAAAACAAAAAAACAAAGGTATAGGCCTAATGTCGTTTTCGCTTTTCTTTAGTATTTATTATGGTTTACATTTTGTACATGTATGACTTTTTTGTTGAAGATGTTGATATGGACACACGGGACCCCCGCTGGATAGGAGCTTGGTGGTTGGGTTTTCTTGTCTTTGGTTCGGTGTCCATTATCCTAGCATTCCCTCTGGCTCTGTTTCCAAGACAACTGAAAATGTCCAAAAAAGATATAGCAAAGGGAAAAGTTCAAGAAAGGCCAATTATTCAGGAAAGCTCATTTTCTGAGAAACTTAAATGTAATTAAAATTTACAATTACATAATTTTAACCCCCCCCCAAAAAAAAAAAGAAAAGAAAAATGGATTGACCTTATATGCAATGTGAATATATTTTAAAGAAAGTGTAAATACCTGTATTGATACATTTTATGGATAGTTCAATGAAAAAAGAAATGAATTTTCTTTCTCTTGAAGATGATTTTCTTGGAGCGGTATAACTTTGGTCATATCAAACATCAGATATAAACTTTCTTTGATAGAATTAGAGTGTATAAGTTTATCTCTTTTTCTCTCCATTTATTAATGTTATTAATAACAGAAAGGTTCTTCTTATTCAGTGAGCGTTAAGGGATATTGGAAAGTGGTTCGAAATCCCGTTTTTCTTCTCACGTCTGCCAATCAAATCTTCACCATAATGTCGGTCGGGGGATTCTCTGGCTTCATGGCAAAATTTGTGAAGACACATTTCAATATACCACTGTCGCTTGCCAACTACATATTAGGTAAGAATGCAGTAACCATCAAAATGAGGTCTCTTCTTGATCCAAGTACATCTTTTGTGATTTTAATAAAAAAAAAAAAGAAGGCATTTTTATGCTATAAACCATAGTTTTTAATTTTTTTGGCAAAATTGGAATTAAATTCAAGTCATCTTCAGCTTTTCTTGCATATACAATATTCTCTATTACTTTTATTTAAATTCTTAGCTGGCGCTAATATATCGGCAGTAGCTTGCGGTTCATTTCTTGGAGGTATCGTCACAAGGAAAATAGCGATGACTCCCAGAAACGTTTACAAAATGATATTAGGTTTCTATATCCTTAACGTGGTGTTCTTGGCTCTCGCCATGGTCATGAGTTGCCCACAACCAACTATCATTGGTCCACGAGAAAAGTGAGTGTTTGTTTTAAACACTTAGTAAATCTATTTTTGATATCTTCTCCTTAAAAAGTAAGGATATAAAATAATGATACCACTTTCGGTTCGTTTACATATAAATACAACATATTTATATATGATTTTGTGCAATAAATTAAGGTGAAATTTTAAATGGTATTAGTATATATTTATTATTGACTTTGCTTTTTAATAGCTTTATATGGAGAAGGATTGAATTCAATTTTCTAAAAAGAGAATGACTACTAGTATATCTATCAAACAATATCTATTTTTATTTAAATTTCAGCATCCCTGGGTATGTTGACATTTCCTCACAAAATTGCTCACTTGATTGCACATGTCAGGATGACAACTTTTTCCCTATATGCGGTTCAAATAAGGTCAATTACCATTCTCCATGTTTTGCCGGATGCCAGGAATTATATAGAAATGGTCGTGTAAGTATTTCTGCAGAATGTTAATTAACGTCGGTGTTTGACATAAACAATGACCTCACTTCCGGACTTTGTAACATATTATGAAAAAGAGTTAGAAACACGCTTCTCCAAGTTTATTTTAGCCATAATTGTTTTCTAGATGTTCTCCAATTGTTCCTGTATACCCGACGGTCAGGCGGAAGCAGGTTTATGTGAATCCAACTGTCCCTATCTGATACCATGGGTCATCTTTATTTTCCTCTCCAGCATATCAGCGGCGATGAAAATACCACCTAATGTGATTGCTATCATAAGGTATATGCAATTATGAATAAAACACCCGTTGTATACTAGTATATGCAAATATCATTGATGGCAACAAATATTGGAATAATTTCCTCATACAGGGATCAAGACAAAGTAATTACATGCAGTACTAGTATTTCACAAAAAGTATACTGGTTTTCATGCTTGATTGAGTCGTCACATGATGAATGCATGAAATTCTTGTAAGACATCTTCTGTGTATATTCATTTCCCTCTAAATTGTTTACATTGTTATCAGAGCTTTTATGGGAAAAACTTGAAAGAAAAGAATGCACATACTAGAATATTTAAAAAAGCAAACTTCATTAAATGTTTGCGTGCACCTATTCCGTCATTTATAGAAGAACTTTGGAACTTTGAACCAGTTTACAGTAGCTTAGGATTCAATCCTATAAATTATACAAATTACATCCCTTTCCTTCCCATGAAATATACATTTCCACTGTATAAGCCCTTAATACCCACGTGGCTCTAAGCAGAGCACAGGGTGATGATTTTAACCAAAGAAGAGATTTACCCTAAGTTGTATCTTTATTTTCAGATCTGTTGATGACAGGGACAAAGCATCAGCGATTGGCCTGAACAGCTGTTTGGTATCTGCTCTTGGTAAAATTCCTTTATATCCCTCATATAAAAATTATTTTCTTTAAAACTTAATATTCTTAAGTTTAAATAAATAGTAATCACGAGCATTCTGGAAACCTTTTCAATTTATCGTATCCTTGAGAGCAAAATATTAGCTGCGTGAGATTTTGGGTTACTATTGGATAAAGGATGGATGTTGACACTAAATGTAACATTGAATTAACATAGAATATTATGTATCTTATTAAGTAACGTACATGAATACCTTTAGGGACTTAGTTATAGCACTGAGGGACAGAATACAGTGTTAGTTTTGTAACGTGCAGCGCAACCGAGCTGGTGTGTGGTGATATGTCTGTATTACCGAGGCGTTACACTCAGGTTCGTTAACCTGTTAACTCAGGTTTTTGGTGACCAAATACAATGTATTTACAAACTTTAATACAATCAAAATAAACACAATGGGTTTCCTCTTGATTGGATGACCACTAACTGTGGTCAACGGGTATCTCCCGCAAGCAAATTTCTCTGGTCCTGCCACTCCACAGGCACTGCTGCCTCCTGGCACTTCCCCCACTTCTGTGTTATGCCACCTCTCTCCTTGCTAACCTCTGCCTTATACAGGTCTTACGTGTTAGCTGATGATATAACCTTTACTGCGTATCCCCCGCAACTGTGTGCCTTATTCAGGTCTTATCACAATGTTTAAGAGGTTAAACAGCCAAGGTTTAACAATCAGAGAAGTATCATCAGCACTGTATTACAGCGTGTATTAATTCAATGCAATCTCAGTACCTCGGCAGTTTCGACCTATTTATATGATCGTAGAATTAATAACTTTCAGTGTTTAAGAAATTAAATAAAAACGTACGTCCAACGTTTTCCAAAGTTTTATACGAAACTAAACGACAAAAACCATTTTCCGTTTCAGTTTATTTGTATATTTGAACTCGAACTGAAACTCGAAACAAGTTTTAAATTAATTTTCTGGAAATATATTAAGAATTACATGTATGAATATAAAACATAATCTCAAATTGAATGTATTGTAATTTTAAGCTTGAAAGTATTCACACTGGTATGTATTTACACACTGGTCGTATAATTATAATGAAGTTCAGAATGTTCATAAATCCATAAGGAAAAGCACAATGTACTTTCAACAATTCCCTGATTTTTGTCGATAGAACATCTCTGTTGTATTACATGTACTTATTAGATAGTTAAATGTATTACAGGCTGGGGATTATCGCCAATACTTTTTGGCAAGGTGCTGGATGGTTCCTGTCACATTTGGCAGTTTCCATGCTCATCTTCCGGCGCGTGTGAACTTTATGACCTTCGATCTTTCCGACTTTCCTTCCACGGACTTTCCCTCGGTATGAGATGTGCATCATTAGTTTGCTTAATCTGCCTTGTTATATGGACGAGGAATTGGAAAGACTGGAAATATGCCAATAAAACGGTTCCGTCAGATCATAGGGTGGACGTAAAGTATACAAAAGTGCCAACTGAAAATAAAAACACTAACGGGTTCGTCACATTAATTTCTACACTGAATGAACTGAAAAAAATATCACATGTTCACGTGTACCCCGTGTTTGTTTGTAATATTTTCATTCCATTATATCAGATATTATCAAATTAATATTTTCTTTTTTGAGACATTACAAAATAACTTAAAAGGGTTTGAAAACTTCAACTAATCGTGCACTATAATATTTTAGCATTACTTATGTAGCTTTTTTTCTTATTTCAGTGAACAGCTGAGTCCAAATTCTGACTAACAAGATTCAAGGAAAACATCAAAATGAACAGCGTGAAATGTTACCAATTGTTACTAATTATGAAAAAAAGTTTTAAGAACCTTTTTAAATGATCGTTTTTACATTCAAAAGAAAGACATTTTTACCTTGAGAACTTTTGAGTTCATTACAAGCAAAAAATCGTATATACTATAACTACATGTACTTGGTCCCCAAAGTTAGACCATGATTATTACACCAATACAATATTGAACAAGAGATGTTTTTGAAACACTTATGCCCCCCCCCCCCCCCGAATAATTGGAATTTTTCTAAGTCCAAGGGGCATAACTCTGTCAAAAATTCCTCGATCGTACCCAAAACAACACTTGACCTAGATATTCTAATAATAAATCTGTACACCAAATTTCATTTCAGTATGTGCAACCCCTGTAAAGAAAATGAACGGAAACTGCAAATAATTGGAATTTTTCAAAGTCCAAGAGGCGTTACTCTGTCAAAAATTGCTCGATCATCTCCAAAACAGTACTTAACCTAGATATTTTTATGATATATCTGTACACCAAATTTCATTTCATTATGTGCAAGCTCTGCAAAGAAAATGAACGGAAACTGAAAATATTTGGAATTTTTCTAAGTCCAAGGCGCATAACAAAAGTTGACCCAGATATTTTTATGATGAATCTGTATATTAAATTTCATATCAGTATGTGCAACCTCTGCGAAGAAAATGAACGGAAACTGTTGGTGGACCGACAGACAGACCGACCGACCGACAGACAGACATCAGCAAAGCAATATGCCCTCCCTTCTTCGAAGGGGGGCATAATAAGAAAACAAAAATAATTTATTATTCAATTCAAGTCATAATTTTAAGTGGAATTATGAAAAAGATAACATACAATTGCGAATTTGTTGACTTGAACAAATGTGAAGTTACACACTAAAGACAATTGCTAAACAATATTGCGTTTTTAGGCTTCATTGCCAAAAGGGAAGAAACACGAAGCTGCATGAAATATGGAGAAGATAACGAACAGTATTCAAGCTCAAAATCCATTAAGACAATACAAATCGGGAGCAGAGCAAACACGAACCTCCAAAAACACCAGAGGTGGGATCAGGTGCCATGGAGGAGTGAGCATCCCTTGCCGACAGGTCACACCCGTGTGCTCCTTGTCATGATCGGGAAAAAACGGGGAAATCCTTAGACAATTCAGTATGTAAATAATGGCCTAACAATAAGTTTGAATAACGTCAGTCAGCATTTGACTTAATGACAGGTTGTATTTGCTGACAACTTGGAAATGCTTCGAATTAGACTGTTGATATCCTTGTTTCAACTTGTTTGTCAATAGCTTGCCTCGTTTTAGAAATTGTTCATACGTAGAGCATGCTCATGTGTATCGAATCAAATGGGAAACAAAAACCCTATATGCAGGTTATAAGGGTATATTGCTACATAAGTAAGGGGAGTTGACAATTGAAAATTTGAAGTCATCACGTTTTTCATAAAGCTTTGTTGTTAGGTTTCCATTTAAGTCTTGTTCTAGTAAAATATCAAATTATGAAACAGATGTGTCAGACTCTGTGGTATCTTTTATTTCAAGCTCACTTTGATATATCGAATCGACATATGAAGGAAGTAACTATTGTTAATTGATATTACGTCGTCGATATATGTGAATGTCGAGTTGAAGGCCACAGCAAGTGTTTTCTTCTTCTCATGTAGTTCTAAGTTTTTGAATAAATTCTGCTTCATATGAATACAAAAATAGGTCTGCTAACAAGTGGGGGTGCAATTGGTACCCTTGGAAATTTCCAAAAGATTGTTGAAAGCCCCGGGGCCACGAACGTTTTATTTTACTCAACTCAAATCTGAGTTTAACTCTAAGTTTTTTACTCACCTGAGTTACGACTCAAAAAAGTGTGCCACGAAAGTTAAAGCAACTTAACTCCGCTGAGTAACAAAACTCAAATTATTTTTTTATGATGTAAGTGGCCTTGGCAATGTAAATAAAAGAAAAATAAATAATGAAAAACATAATCTCTGTTTTCCTTTTGAATCTACCTCTATAATGCAAATTCACATAATTGTGACGTAATATTTTTTGTTTTGATGACGTTGCATACTACGGAACGGCTGTCTCACCAATATGGAAGAAATGGATGTACTGTATGATATCATAGTTGAAAATCCTTCCAAAATTAACGAAACAATATTCGAGGCTGTCGAAACTCCCCTCGCAGCATCCACTCCAAAAAGGAAACCTTCCTGGAGCGACTTAGAACAGAGTGTTTTAATTGAATTTGTTTCAAAAAATGAGCAGAAACTTTTTGGAAAGTTTAAAGGACCGGGGAGGGGAAAAGTAGAGAGAGAAGCTGCCTGGGAGGATGTAGCAAGAGCTGTAAACGAGTATGTTTATTTCAAAGAATTTTTTATAAATTTTCTTACCTTGATAATTTATTTAATACATTTAAAAATTCTATATTAAAGTTTAAAATTATTCTTGCTTGTATCTTGTTAAGTTAAATTATTTTATGAGCTTTTTATTTAGTTAATAACATCTGCGAAGACTTTGAACAGACTATATAATGCAAAAATAGAAAGTGCTCAGAAAAGAAAAAAAAAAAATAAATGTCAGGTCCATTTTCCATATAAACTTAGCATAGTGATAATATATCATACAGCAAATGGTTTAGCATAAAAGATTGTACTATTTATAACCCGGGCTACCCTTCCCCTTTTTAAAGATTTTCACTGAAACAAAGATTAAAGCGCAAAGAAATTTTTTCAGTTAATTTAATTTACTTTTCATATTGATATTTTTTAAGTGTGAAAAAACTTGCAAATTACTTATGTGTGTCATGGAACATGCAACCCCCCCCCCCCCCCCCATCTAGGAAGTCTTCATAATACTTATCATATTCATTCCATGCTGAAGAGTTGCAAGTATTGAGCTATATTTCTTTTCACAACTTATTTCCGGTTTATTTCTGTTACAGAGTAGGTATATTTACTTTCGGACAGGGAAGGAGGCATCAAAGCAGTATGCCAATTTGAAAGCCAGAGGTACACATCTAAAAATCATTTACTTTTTGTTATTCTGACTATATTCTGAATACAAAGCACATTTCAGTTAAAAAATCAAACCTTGTCTTTTATCTTTATAGCATCGTTTTATAATATATATGTACATGTATCGGTAACAGGCGCGGATCCAGGAATTTTTTCCAGGGTGGGTCAATCCCCAATCAAAAAATTTCCAACCTAGAAATGTCTTGACAAGCAAAAAAAAAAAAAAACAAAAAAACAAAAAACAAAACAAATCAAACCAAAAAAACAAACAAAACAAAACAAAAGCAATCTAAAATCCATTTCCCCAACGTGAAAAAAAAATTGTGGTGATGGTGGGGTCCACGTTTTCTAGAGGGGGTCCAAATTCGTTTTTTACTTGCTTCAGTATATACTTTTAATAACTCTGCAAATTCTGGACCCCCAACCCCCCTCTAGATCCGCGCATGGGTAACGCTCTTTTATTTACAACGGAGTCTCTAAAAGAAATAAAGAGTTTGACAAGCTAAAATAAATTTTATTATTATTATTGTTCTTAACGTAGCAAAGGACAAACTGTCCCAAATTAAAAGACCCAAGACAGGTGGAGGTCCAAAGCCCCCATCACCAACGCCTGTTGAGCAAGCCATGTTGGATACTTTGGAGGGAAGGCCGTCCTTGCAGGGATTAGACTCAGGTTTTGATTCTGGTGGTAAGAATACTTTCTTGATATAAATGAAATACATGTAACCACCTTTAGTAATAACCTTAATACTATTTCGAGAGATTTTATATTACTATATTGGATATACGCAGTTCGAATTACCTAGTAAATCAAGTGAAAAAAAAGCACATATATATGTCTATTTACTAGACATGCGCAAAGAATACGTACATGTATTAAAATCCTCAACAGATTTTTCACTTTAAAAGCGCTAAAATCGTGCGGTTTTTTTTTTTTAAATCAATTGATTTATTTTTTTGGAAAAGGGGTCAAAATCCTTGCGCGAAAGCACGAAATAAAAGTGTTAAATCGTTTATATTTTTTGATATTATTTTGCATGATAATTATTGTGTTATATTAAGGAGAGAAACTAGTAAGTTGATAAAACTTGTTTCTGATCCTTTTGATTGTCAAAAAATATGTTCAAAACAAATAAAAGTGTTACGGGGCGCTCAAAGTTACTCATATTTTTATTTTATGCATCATTGAATAGTTACATCATTCTGTTTTAACGGAATTAGAGAAGGAAAGGGATCAGGTGGCATCCATCTCAACATGCAGCGAGGGTCAAGATTCATCTTCAGACACGTTCACCTCAGTGCCACCTCATCTTCAGACACGTTCACCTCAGTGCCACCTCATCTTCAGACACGTTCACCTCAGTGCCACCTCGCTCTAATAAAGAAAACAAAAAGGAACAGAGTTTATTAATTCTACAGAAAGATCTTCTCAAGACAGAGAAGAGAAAGTTAGAGTTAGAAATGGAGCTGATGCATTTGAAGAAAAAGAAGATGTTAGAAGAAGTTGAAGTTTTAAGTCTAGAAAAAGAGAAGCTAAAAGAAGAAAAATTGTTATTGAAGTTGAAAAAGAATTAAATAAAACGTAGTTTTATAAATGCAAATAAATCATCAATGAAATTTTATTTTTTAGTATATATATCTATTTAAATATCGATTCTATTTACGTATTCAATGCCCCAAAAACACATTGGCAAATATGGAACCATGAGGTACCTCTTGAGAGCATATCCTGAATCACCATTATTATAATAATTTATATGTCATAGAAAAATCACCTATTTCAGTTTTCTTATTTATGCCTTACCAGTTTCGAAGAGTCTAGCAAGAGACGATTCTCTAAACACACGGGAATCATGTACACTACCCGGCCATTTTGCAACGCAGTTTACAAATCTAAACGAGGCATCACAGGCCATCTGAAAGAAAGCAAATTTACTATTCTTTTTTCTTTCTTTTTTTTGGGGGGGGGGGGGGTTGCAAGTACAAAAACAAGTTATGTTTCTGCTAAATCTTACAAACAAGAAAAAAAATTATACATGTAATATATTCCCTCGATTATTACATATAATATGTTATATTTTCAAAATCAGTCTATCAAATTTGCGACAATGTAAATGCATACAATCTGAGAAAAGCATGTCATTCTCTAAATTAATCCTTATCCTGCCATAGACTAAAACCACGTGACTATCATCAGACGATATTCCAGGGTTAGAAACTCCCTAAAATTACAACTCGCAAATAATTGCGAGTACCAAGAAAGTATAAGACTACTCGCAATTTTCATAGAAAGTTAAATTTAATTCTCCAAAAACTAGATAGATATTGCCAATCAGAAACTCAAGCATCCTTTTAATATCAACTTCAGAGTACTTGTGTGTACAATCAAAATGCTTTTTAACAAAATAATTTTGCAAATGGCCAATGACAAGGTAAGTTTATTTACGAGTTCAATTTTTATTGAAAAAGCAACTGTCTATGATGTCAATAAGCTGGACTTTAATTTATTGTAGGGAATGGTTGAATAAAGTGTTGAAAAGTCGTACGTTTTGATGTTACTGATTTTAAAATTTTGTGATTTCAAATTTACTAAAAGTTCCTCGGAGGTTTTAAGTATCCACATCTGATTTACGCCACTTCTCGAACATACTGTTGTACATTAATACCATATTGTTTTTCTAAGAAATAAAGATAAATTATTTTGCCACAGTGAGTTGCATACAATCAACTTAAATGAGTAAATGAGTGACTACTAAAGTGAGACATGTACAATGTATATCCATATATTGGATGTATAACATTTCTTGCGTCTGTCCCTAACCATGCTGTGTATTTATAAAAAATGAAATACAGATAATCTGATATCTTACTAAGAATGTTTCAGATTAAACCACCACCTAGATGACAGTTCTGAAATGGTCGCCATCAATGTTGTTTCTTTTTAGATATTTTGTTTTCACTTTTTTACGTAATGGCTACATCTATATCTTCATTTTTTTTTCAACCTCTGATACTTATATTGAATCATTGTGCATTTGAAGTTGAATTCTTTCCATCACCAAAAACTTAAAATATACAGCAATTAATTACCGGTGTTCTTTGTCAGTACGCCGTAACCAAAGTGATCACTTTCAAAACACGTGAGTCTTTGTAATGCATAATATCATGTACATCGTTTTACCAAATCTTTTTTTTTTCTTGTTTTCTTGAAAAAATACTGGACGCTTGCTTCTTAATACTTACTATGTAAAAAAAAAAAATAAATAAACAAAATAATAAAGTACACGCTGGGGTTTATAATCAACACTGCTTGGCAAGGTGTTAGATACTTCCTGTCGGTACGGTCATTTCCTCACTCATCTTCCGGTGTGTGGGAGCTGTACGACTGCTGGAATTATTTTCCTCGGCATGACCGTGTAGTAGAAGTTTGTGCTGCCTGCTTTGTTCCATGTACGAGACAACGAAATCTGACAATTTGACAAAAGACATGTTCTGTCAGATCGTGAAAGTTAACTACACTGGATAGGCATCTAGGCATATGAACAACAAACAAGTATACTGGTACACTGAGATTTAAAAAACCCTGTAATTTAGTACAATAAGAAAACGACGGTATATGAAAGATTCTTCACGGACTAAGAACATTAAATATCGTCCTGTTCTAATACCGAAAAAAATATTAATGAACAAATGAAATATCTTTACATAAACAAATGATTTCTGGCATATTTTTCTTTTCAAATACATTTTTGTTTTGTTTCAATTTTTCCTTCAGATAATCCATACAAATACTTGTAGTTTGATTCATGATGATAATTATTTTTAAAAATCGAAATCGGTTATACCCGCGTACTTTGATTCTTGATGCTCGAACTATTGAAGATATATCTTCTAATAACTTGAAATTGAATCAATTACAGTTATACCAAGTAACACTGGCAGTTTCTAATGCAAGTCTACAGATGTCAAACATGCAATGTGTAGGAAGAATTGTGCATTGAAACATTCTACGAAGACATTAACAAACAATCATATGTAGAAGCAATGAGTCCTTAGACAGAGAAGTGAACACTACACGTTTGCATTATTTTCAGTGTCAACAAATACAATCTATCATTAAGTCAAATGCTTACTGACGTTTTTCATACTAATTATTAGGCCATTATTTACCAACTGAATTGTGGACGGATCATGACAAGAAGCACACGGCGAGTGTGACCCGGTCGGCAGGGGATGCTCACTCCTCCATGGCATCTGATCCCACCTCTTATGTTTTAGAGGTCCGTGTTTGCTCTGCTCCTGATTTGTATAGTTTGAATGGATTATTATCTCCATATATTTCATTTCAATGTGTATAAATCAATTGTAAATATCAAATTCTAAGATTTTCTTGCAGTGCTTACAATGATGCAATTTTTTTACCCCGGTTTTATTGTCTGCTTATCTAATGCAAGTACATGTATTTGTGTTCAAGCATACTTATCTTTACCAATCATTTGAACTTAAAGTTGTGGATATATTCATCATTTGACTAATAATAGTTAAAGTGCAAAAACCGGCATTTCAATTAAAGTTAATCATTATGATTTTATGGACATGCTGTAATATCCTTTCATACACTCTTTCTGGTGGGACAGAGTCATAATTGTATGTTGAAATGGTTTTGTTCGTGGGAAACGGGGATTGTTTTGAATTCCTAATTGTACCAAATGATGTGCATGGAGGAAAAACTGTCGAGTTAAAAAAATAACTTTCTCATGTAATAACTTTCCACAATTCAAATCAAAGTCAAAGTCAAAATCAATGAATAAGCATATTTTAATCCATATGAACGGAAAAGAGTCGATTTGAGGTCAAAAGCCCTCAATTAGAAGAGAAGTATTTTACTTGACTCCATGAGTGTGTGCTTGTCCAATTTTCTTTTCGAAAAAAAAAAACTCGACAGCAATGAGTAGTGGGCCTTGAAAATGTGAATACTCGATTAGCTATACATTGAAGTACACTATTAAACTTTTCTTCAGATAATTGTATCTTATCATTATGATATCAAGAATACACAAGTGTGAAAAAAGTGGTCATTTCAAAACTTTGATTTACACAGAAACACATATTTGAAATAGAGTACATGTAAAGTGAACTTATAAAAATAGTCATTAAAATAGAGTTCAATCAAATTTATAGACAGATGTGACTTTTGTAAATATTCTTTTAAAATAAAAATCAACTCTAGTTTCGACAAAAGATACAGTATTAAGTTTTCAGTAAGAAGTTTTTTGATTAAAAGCTATTTGTTATTTGAATTGTGCTTTCAATTTATTGTGACGTGAGGGGCCAGGAAAAAGGCTCTTACTAGACCTTGTTTTGAGAAATTCAATGCCAAATAACTATTCGTTTTTTTTTTTCACTCGACATTTTGTGTAAATGGGTAAAAACGAATAATTGTACACAAATATATAAATTCTAAGTAAAAGGGTTCATGCCCTCATGCTAATGAGGATTATGAAACCGTGGTCATTATTTCAGCCTATTTAAATGAATTTGGAAACAGATAGAATATCGATGTACACGTTTTTCGAAGTAAATACTGTATACAGGGAAATTTTCGCCCCTTTCGCCCTACCCTCATTTGGGTGAATTTAAAACGGGGCGAATTCAAAGAATACAGTATTTCTTAAACAAAACTATGAATGGGCGAATTCAAAACGGGGCAAAATTGTTTGCATGTGTGAAAGGGCGAAAATAACCCTGTATACAGCATATTCATAGTAAAGTACTATTTGGAATTGTATGCAGTGCATTTTGAACGTAATGATAACTGCATAATTAAAAGAAGAAAGAAATTGTGATACCAGAATTACTTCCTCAATTAGCGAATTTTTTTGTTGTTAAATTGAGGGGTTCAATTCCAATGAGTACATTCTATACTTTGAAACTTTAAAAAAAGGCACAGCACTCCATTTTTGGATGAATGACGAAAACTATACTGAATAAAGCACACCCACAATTATTTTTCCTTCGAAACGAATATTTAGAAAATAAAACATTAAAAATGGGACTATTCTTCTCTGTTACAGAATTCTTTAGTTAGTCTAGATTATTATGTCAAATATATGTAATCAACCTTTGTTGAACAAAAATATTTTCCCTAATCATGACGACACAAAAAAGAGGCTTATGGGCCTTTATGGCCATCCGAGTTTCAAAATGCAGTTTTTTGGGAGCAATAGTATTATTATTTGGTCTTTTTCTGATCTAATCCTATGTAAAACTTGAAGGTCCGTATGCTTCTCATCTTAGTCTAAAGGAAATGATTTGGACAGATTTGAAATTACACTTCATGATGTATTAATAATATACAGACAATTTGAAGTGTTGTCTTTTAATTTAACAAAAAAAAACTTCCTTATGACAAACTAAAAAAAAAACATATTAGCCTCTCTGACTTAATTCTGTGCTGGAAATGGTGACACTGAGGTATATGTATTTGACTGTTTGAATCCCCGTAATCTTGAAAAAAAAAAATTAAAAAGATTTTTTTTTTCCATATTACCCTTTGCAAGAAATGTGAACCCCTTTTAGTGGCATCAACCCTGTCCTAGGTATATGATTTAAACAAACTTTTAACTGTACATGAGACTTGTGTGCAAATTTGAAAAACTAAGCGTTCTGGACCATCTTTGTTGATCTGGACATGTCATTTCGCGAAGACCACAAATTGAACAAGTTTAAATATTATAATTTGAAAATGCTTGCACATAACTTTGATAATTTTGAGACTGGTACTTGTTGAGAAGATGATTTAAGAAAAAAAAATTACATACTTTTAAATAATTTCTATGAAACGCTTCGCAACCCTTTGTATCCTCCAGTTTGTCCCAAGGGTAATGGTAGAAAACAAACTTTAATCTACACTGTACTATTGTTGTAGCCTTGTGGTTATTGAGAAGATTTGTTATACATATACCTGTATTTTACATACACCTACATGCTTATGTATGTATTTTTGTGTAAAACTTTGCAAACCCGTTATGGCCCATCACCTTCCAACGAGCTATGTATTGAATAAATTTATATCTACACTATTTACAAATGCTTGCTAATGTACTTGACAATTTGAAACATCGTATGTTTTGAGAAAATATTCAAAGAATTTCCTATATAATTTTATGGTCCAGTAAATATTGCGTCTAACCCCTGTGTCCCAATCTTTTTTCCAGGGGCCCTGGTTTGATCAATCTTAAGTATGCTTTCATACAATACAAGTTTGACAATTTGAAGCCCCACGGTTTTTAAGATGAATATTTATAATAAATAACTTTTCCTATGTATTTTTATGTTAAACTTTTGACCACTTTTAAGCTTTCTCCCTGCCCTAGGCGCCTTGATTTGAACAAATTTGAATGTACTTTATAAGAGGATGCTTGCATTTATGTTTCACAATGCATTCCCTTGTAGAGAAGATTTAAAAAGATTTTTCCTAAAAAAAATTCTATGTGCAATCTTGGACTTCCTTTAACTTGTGGCACCATCGCTGTCCCAAGGCCATAGTTTGAACAAACTTGAATTTTCACTATATTAAAAAGGTTCCAAATAAGTTTTGTTAAATCTGGGTCATGAAAGAAGAATTTGAAATGATTCCACCTACTATTACATTTATAAAGTTATCTTCCATACAAAATGGGCACTACCCTTAAATTGTACACATATGAATAACTAAAAAGGGGGATTAAATTAATCCATGAGGGTCAAAACGGTCCACCCATGTGTAGTTCTTTACCAGTGTTGTGGTATATATATACTCGTATGTGTGTAAAAGGTAGATGCTACAGTGAAGGTAAATCTAAGTGTATGAGTAATTAACGTCTCGCAATCCGTGACACTGTTAAGTCAATCTTCATAAGAGGTATCGGACATCCCTAAGTGGTTCCGGAACGGCAAGACTGAAAGGCGAGTAAGGGACCTGGCTAAAATATGCGAACAGTAACATTCCTTATAAATGATTTAATCAAGTGGATCTTTAGGTTTGTTAAATACAGTTAAAATGTAACAATTTGAAGTGGCTTTACTCTTTCCTGGTGGTGTATATTTCAACTATTTCAGTTTACAATGACGCGCAAAAGGACTCGGAATTGAAATCTCCGTAAACACTAACGACACGAGATATCTATCGGTAAGCTGGCTTTTGTACATACATGTTTTTCCTTGTGTTTATCATAGATAATAATAATAAACAGTAGCTGTGTCTAATGAAATTGTATAACGAATATTAATCTGATTTAACTGCATGCAACAATATCTTTATTATAATCTAAAACTGCATCCCAGTTGATGACATGGAAAATGTCATAAAGTACACGTGAGAGCTTCTACGTTATATCTGCAAAATGTTGTAATAGATTATTATAATGTCTGCAGTTAATTGGACGTCATCTGAGTTATATTTATAACCATAATATGTATTGTCTAAATATCATAGCCGGATTCAAATGAAACTTATATCTCTGAACTTTGTGAATTTTATAGATGATGATCATGAACGCCTCAACAAACTCGACCCGTCATATACACAACCTTGAAGAACTGGAATATTCCGAATTCATAGCGGAATATCTCCCCATATTTATCTACCTTTTAATCCTAGGAGTAGTTGGTACTTTTGGAAATTTACACGTTCTTGTTGTCTATTCTCGACGTTACAAACCCTCAAATCACCGTATATTTATCTTGTGGTTAGCGGCTGTCGATTTTTTCTCGTGCACTGTGAGTATTCCATTTGAAATGTATGACATTAAATATAGATACACGTTCACGGCTTCTTGGGCTTGTAAAATATTTCGCTTTCTCAACCACACGGCCAGTGTTTCCTCTGGATTTCTTCTCGGATTGATAGCAATTGAACGGTTTCGAAAGGCATGCCAACCAACCAAAGTTCAAATGACACTCAAACAAGCAAAAATAGCTTGCATCATTACATTACTTGTGAGTTCCATACTAGGTGTTCCTGCCGTTGTGATATATGGTGCCAACGTATCTGAGACATTTCATCCTGGAATTCTAGGATCAGATTGTACAAGTCTGACCAAATATAAATCGTATTTTAAAATCTACAGTGGAGCTTTGCTACTTTTCTCAACATGTGTGTTTGTTATGTGTATCATTATATACATTTTCGTCGGAAAAGTACTCTATAGACAAATGCAATTTCGCAAAAGAGCCCAGTTACGACGAAACAAATTGAATGCGTTGTCGTCATACTCTTTGAACGCTCACTGCTCAACAACCAAATTAGCAACGCTGGGATCCATGGCTTCTCTTGACAAAGTCGAAATTGAAGATGACCCATCAAGTTTGAACAACGAACATTTAAAAGTGAATAAGAATCACTCAGGCAATGGTGTGTCGCAGATTCAGAAAAGGAAAACCAAAATCAATCGTTCTAAGAAAATTACCTTGATGTTTTTAGTAGCAACAAGTGTGTCGTATCTAGGTTACTTACCTAATACAGTGTTTTCGGTCATCAAGGCGCTTGACACTGCAACATTTACTGCGATATCGATGAAACTTGGTGCATCCGTTTTCATTCTTCTTCGTTTATACTTTATAAGTAATGTCACAAATCCAATTGTGTACAGCTTTATGGACGAACGATTTAGGGAGGAATGTAAACTCTATTATCGCAAATTTAAGATACAGCTTTTAAATTGTCTAAGATGTAAAAAAGATTAATATGGTTATCGTGTATTATAATTGTTTACACAATTTGTATCTATGATATTTGTATTACTTTTTTAAATGATTTATTAAATTGATCAGGTAAACTCAACAATTTTACTTTCAACGAAATGTTAAATGCTATGCTTGTCCTCCGCATACAAAATTTTTGAACACAGTCCCCCTCCTTCTTCCAAGTACTACCCCTTACCGTCTTAGATTCATATCAAGTCTGGGTATATAATGTGTAATTCTTCATTATCATCGTGATACATACACTCTTTATTATTAAAATGTCTATGAAAGACAAGAGGAAGGAACATCCTCAACATGTAAACCCTTACAAAATCATAATATTCTCTGGACCGACTGCCCTTTACGAAGAGTTAACGATATATACAGTAATATTATTTTATTTTTCCTTCCGAGAACTCGAAGACTCACTGATACCAGGATAAACGAGTTTCCTCCAAACAGAAACTAGAAGGAAATGGATGCGGAATTCCATTCAATTCCTTATCTATATTCGTTATTATATTGACCTGATTCCACCTCTGCTTTTCCAGGGGTCCGTGCTCTGTATTATTGACCTGATCCCATCTCTGGTCTTTCCAGAGGTCCGTGCTCTGTATTATTGACCTGATCCCATCTCTGGTCTTTCCAGGGGTCCGTGCACTGTATTATTGACCTGATCCCATCTCTGGTCTTTCTAGGGGTCCATGCTCTGTAATATTGACCTGATCCCATCTCTGGTCTTTCCAGGGGTCCGTGCTCTGTATTATTGACCTGATCCCATCTCTGGTCTTTCCAGGGGTCCGTGCTCTGTATTATTGACCTGATCCCATCTCTGGTCTTTCCAGAGGTCCTTGCTCTGTATCATTGACCTGATCCCATCTCTGGTCTTTCCAGAGGTCCGTACTCTGTATTATTGACCTGATCCCATCTCTGGTCTTTCCAGAGGTCCGTACTCTATATTATTGACCTGATCCCATCTCTAGTCTTTCCAGGGGTCCGTACTCTGTATTATTGACCTGATCCCACCTCTGGTCTTTCCAGGGGTCCGTATTTTGACCATATTCACGATTCGTATTATTTATAGGATTTTTGAGAGTGATCATGCTTCGTTATCTTCACTATTTTCATTGTAAATTCGATTTTTTTTCTGTTAGCAAGGTTTGATATATGCTTTGTAATCCTATATACATTTACAAAGAAGAAATCTATTTTAAAATGATACCATAATTTACAGGTGTATTTGCGCGCTTTTAAAGCCTTTTGAAAAACCTTGCTTTCATCCATATTTTATTATTTTTGTTAAAAATTCACACAGCTTCAGTTATTTTGTATGTATTATCTATACATTGCCTTAAGCGCAGTGTTTTCTTTATTTTTTTCTTTCTTTTTTTTTTGTCTATTGATCTCAACAGTAAAACTCAATCTTTTTTTTAAAAGTTCTAAAGTATCCGAGATCTATATATGTTGACCTTTTATATGACCTCGTGCTTCCCTCAAGATATACGGATCTCATTTACATCAAAATTAGCTAACAGACATGTATATGATCTGACGGGTAATTTACACAACACATGCGGATAGATTCTTATCATGACACTATGGAGGATGACATGTCTTCTGCATGTTTTGCTATTTGAAACGAAAATTATTATTTTGTTTATTCAAACAGATATTCAAAAGCATTATATTTATGAATATATATAGAGAGCATAAAAAGTCACAAGGAGATTATCTCTGTATCTAAAATATCTGTACTATGGCTGATTATTTGTAAGATGAAGTGATTGTGTAGTTTCATTTTTGTCTGAAAAAATTATTATTCAACTAATGTTAGATCACTCAATCCCCATTGAAATATTTATGTTTATAATTTCCCTATCAGTACGGCATATTTCGAGGCTTGTTTTACGGAAGACTTAAAGAGTTGCGAACCACAAAATGGTACACAGTAAATGGTACACGTACAGTGTAGTGTACACTTCCAATAGCAACAGATAAGCTGAACAAACTGACCCCCTGATTTCTCCGTTATCCGCTTGACTGTCGGTTGCTTAGACCACTTGGATAACACCTACTGTACACTTATTGTACACTTCCTGAACATATATTGTTTACAATAGATTTTTGGGGTTTTCACATGGAAACGTAAGTAACACTTTGCATCATTATTGGAAACTACCAGTAAATAGTATGCTTGATACAATCATGATCCCATCAGTTCGGTCGAAACCACAACAGAGGATCAACATTCGGCATAGGAGCATAACATTTTAGGAATTTTTTTAAAAAAATCTTCTCGAAACAACGAGTCATTGATTAATCAAAATGAAGTACAACCATAGTTTCGATACAAGTTTGGTTTTCATTAACCTTGCAGCTTTTTTGGGGGACAACAATAGGGGTCAAAGTTTTACATGTAAATCGGGGTTTATAGAGATTTATTTTTTAAACTTCTTTTCAGGAACAAAAAAGGCACAATTTTTCATATTCATAAACATTCACTTTCATGTACCATAGTTCAAGTTTCTTTATCACTTAGTTATAAATCCAAAAAGTATTGGCATACTTTTTTCATATAATCTTGTCTCCAAATGACCTTCTATGATTAGAAACTTAAAACCCAATATACCCTTTGTATATCACAAGTGAGAGTCTCCCATTTTTCTTTCTATTCGTTTGATCTTGCTTTTATTTCATTACAAGGTTTGATTAAAAATACACAATGTATAAGTACATTTATCCAAAGGTGTACATTTTTTACTATTTGAAGTAAAAAAAAAAATATTCAAACTCAATGTTTAAATTTAGCTTCTAACAGTCCCTCATTCAGGGTACGTTAATTTCTAATACTAGTAAAATGCACATTGCTAACTATTATAAACAAGTGGTCCATGGGATATAACGCTCACCTGAGTTACCTTGGTCTTGCTGTCAAACCTTGGCTCCTTTTGTACCCCGACTTAACCCCAGTCATGATCTGAACAAACTTGAATTTATAGCAATCTATAGAAAATTTGTGTAAAAATTCTTTACATTTACATGTCAGTATTTGACCCCCTTCTCAAAATTTTGACCCCACGCTAGGACATGATTTAAGCAAACTATAATCTTGACTACATGTACATGGGGATATTTGTATAGCAATAATACGCAATATAGCAAAACTTTGATCCCCCATTGGGCCCAACCTTGTTTAGGGGGCATGATTGGAACACACTAGTATCTTTACTCAATAATTAAGGAAGGTTTTATTTGGGTAGTTGCTTTGCCTTTAAGGTCAGTAGTTGTTTAGTAATAGTTTTATTGAGAATGACTCCTCATGCAGATTTAGTTTTCTCAAGCATTTTTTTTAACTTGAGCCTAAAAACAGGACCCAGGAAATATGAATTTCATAACTTTTATGGAGACCTCATTGCTTTACATTTAAGAATTACATGAATATTTATATTCTAGCCCTAGTCTCATTCCCTAAACACACTAGTATCTTTACTCAATAATTAAGGAAGATTTTATTTGGGTAGTTGCTTTGCCTTTAAAGTCAGTAGTTGTTTAGTAATAGTTTTGTTGAGAATGACTCCTAATGCAGATTTAGTTTTCTCAAGCATTTTTTTTAACTTGAGCCTAAAAACAGAACCCAGGAAATATGAATTTCATAACTTTTATGGAGAGCTCATCGCTTTACATGTAAGAATTATATGAATATTTATATTCTAGCCCTAGTCTCAATCCCTGAACACACTAGTATCTTTACTCAATATTTAAGGAAGATTTTATTTGGGTAGTTGCTTTGCCTTTAAGGTCAGTAGTTGTTTAGTAATAGTTTTATTGAGAATGACTCCTCATGCAGATTTAGGTTTCTCAAGCATTTTTTTAACTTGAGCCGAAAAACAGGACCCAGGAAATATGAATTTCATAACTTTTATGGAGACCTCATTGCTTTACATTTAAGAATTACATGAATATTTATATTCTAGCCCTAGTCTCATTCCCTAAACACACTAGTATCTTTACTCAATAATTAAGGAAGATTTTATTTGGGTAGTTGTTTTGCCTTTAAGGTCAGTAGTTGTTTAGTAATAGTTTTATTGAGAATGACTCCTAATGCAGATTTAGTTTTCTCAAGCATTTTTTTTAACTTGGGCCTGAAAACAGGATCCAGGAAATATGAATTTCATAACTTTTATGGAGACCTCATTGCTTTACATTTAAGAATTACATGAATATTTATATTCTAGCCCTAGTCTCATTCCCTGAACACACTGGTATCTTTACTCAATAATTAAGGAAGATTTTATTTGGGTAGTTGTTTTGCCTTTAAGGTCAGTAGTTGTTTAGTAATAGTTTTATTGAGAATGACTCCTCATGCAGATTTAGTTTTCTCAAGCATTTTATTAACTTGGGCCTAAAAACAGAACCCAGGAAATATGAATTTCATAACTTTTATGGAGACCTCATTGCTTTACATGTAAGAATTACATGAATATTTATATTCTAGCCCTAGTCTCATTCCCTGAACACACTAGTATCTTTACTCAATAATTAAGGAAGATTTTATTTGGGTAGTTGCTTTGCCTTTAAGGTCAGTAGTTGTTTAGTAATAGTTTTATTGAGAATGACTCCTCATGCAGATTTAGTTTTCTCAAGCATTTTTTTAACTTGAGCCTAAAAACAGGACCCAGGAAATATGAATTTCATAACTTTTATGGAGACCTCATTGCTTATTAAAACACTTAGACATTTAACCTACGAGTCAAGAATTTCACAAAGGTAGAAATTTTATGGGTCATCATCACCATGTATACAGTATGTCAAAAAGATATCAAGGAGCAACAAAAAAACATGACCAACCTGTGCCTGCACTAGAACTGAAATCTCAATTTAGGGGACGTGACGTTAAGAATCAAGGACAGATCTAGAGATTATTCATAAAAATATTGAAAAAAAGTGTTTAGCAGAGAAATTAAGTAAGAATTACATGAATATTTATATTCTAGCCCTAGTCCCATTCCTGTAGAATTTACAGTGAATATTCTTATTCATCGTAGATGTTACATAACAAAATAAATTAAAGTAGTTCAGATTTTTTAATGAAGAAGCTAAATATGTTCAAAAGGTTATGAACAACAAAGATAAAAAAAACTATCAGGAACTGAAAATCACGATACATGTATAATGATGAAAGGAAACGCATTTTCAGCTTTTTTTTAGTTTCATGTTAAATGATGCCTGTGGCTATATGTATATGTATACAAATCAGTTTTCTTATTTCAATATAGGTTGTTGAAACACAGACACTTATGGCGTATAGTATTGTACTTACACATTTCTAATCATTTTAGATCATTACATATTTTACTTGAATATTTTATTGTGTATTCAACCAACCGGGGTCTGGCTATCGTATACCCCAATCACATTCTTCTATTTTTCATAGGGGATATTTGCTTTTATTAATAAACTTGAATATCTATCTCAATAAATCTAAATAAGCTAAAATGTTACAGAATAATATACATGCATTTAAACAGGTATTCTGAGAGTATTGCATTAGCATTAGTCCCCTACTCGCAAGTGTAATCTGGTTACCTAGTATAAAAATTAAGAGGCCGTAATTCATAAAAAAAAAATCATCGAAGGGACACGAATGCATACTTGATCTGTAACTCATCAAGATACACCCACATACCAAAAACCTGCTCAATATCTACAAGAGTTTAGAGAAAAAGTGCAGAAAAAACCAAGTGGTAGACTGACAGACAAGAGGGACAGACAGAGAGACTAGGACGAGGAAACCCTTCGGGCTTCACAGGATATGATCACGTGACCAACAAAGTTCATTTCCCATTGAACTTTTTAATATAGTCCCCTCCGGTTTCACTGGTAGGTGTCTAAAATGTTTTCTAGACAATACACCAGTGGCGGAATCAGAAATCAATGTGTCGGGTTTTGTGGACCGAAGAGGGAGGATATGGGAGGTATGTTTAGGGCGCCTCCCTCGACAATTTTGCATTTTCAAGTATTTATGACTAAATCTTTTGTTTTTTGTATCCCCCGCTTGAAAACATGGGGATTGTACAGTGATGGGGTTATCCGTCCGTCTGTTACTCTTTGGGGTACCCCTCTCTTATCCGCAACTCCTCCTATATCAATGAATAAAATTTAACAGACTTTCACAGAATCTTTATTATATAATGTTATTGTGCAGCTCCTATTTTACTTCTTTGATCGGTTTCCCATAGCAAAACGTTGACACTGCCATTCTTTCTATAATACCGGGGTACCGTGATCTCTTATCCACAACTCCTCCTATATCACTGAAAAATATCATCATACTTTCACTGAATCTTTATTACATAGTGCCATTGTGACCTCCTAATTTATTTTTTGTTTTGACACATATTTTGGGTTTCCCATAATAAAACAAATCTCTCCCCAGAGGGCGTATTACGCTACGCTACAACAGTATTATAGGAATGAGAGTACCGAATCCCCGGACGTACACGTGGTTTTGTTTGTTACACAAAGTAGTATAGAGTACTGAATAGTGTGTGTTACCCGATTCCGGCTGAATTCAGGTATATAATTATTTTCATTTTAAAGTAAAAATATTAATGTTTGAAATAAATGATGGAATGTAGAAATATTACAGAAAATATAGAAATACCAGGGGAGATTGTAGGAGTGGGGGTTGATACTTTTGGCATAGTGTCATTTACTGCCGATCGCTATAAGTTGTAAACAACTGCAATTTTGACCTATAAACGCCATGGGACCCTATATTTTTTTTCGGGCTTTTTTATGAGCGCTCAGAATAAAGTTTCAAATGGTGCCAAGGATTTTTTTGAAATTGAATTAGTATAGTACTGAGAGAGCAAAAGGTTTGTATAGAGTTCTATGGGAAAATAATTGGTACACTTTTCCCATTAGTGGAGTGAAGCGGGAACGATGACTCTGGGTAGAGGTTGTAGCAAAACATGGAAACTGCCATTCTTTCTTATTGGGAGTGCCCATTTTTTATCCGCAAATCCTCCTATACCACTGAATAAAATTTAATGATGCTTTCACAGAATCTTTATAAGGGCCATTGTACACATTCTACTTTATATTTTGATCGGACATATAGATGGGGTTTCCCATAGCAAAAAATGGACTTACCCATTATACTCAAATGTGGGTGAGGCTATCATTTTGTGAGATCACTGCTCAGAGTATCTCTAGTTTCCTTCTCTCTTGCTTCGACATGGCTTCTAGAGTACATAAATGTTTTACCACGATTAATAATATAAACTTGTTACCGTTAATATGGTTCTATTACACACATATTTCACCTTAAATTATTATTATATATATATATATATATATATATATATATATATATATATATATATATATATATATATATATATATATATATATATATATATATATATATATATATGTCTTTTGCTTTTAAAAAGTCTATCACATCATAGCTTCCATGTACACAAAGGAAACTCTTCAATGCACTTTTTTTTGCTTTAGCCTTTTCGTATGTGTCACAACTGCAAGGGAGGAGAGGTTATTTTCCTGATAAAAAGCCAGGTTTATTGTGAAAATATTGTATATGACACTGTATGCAATTTTAATTTAAAAATCCATTAGTTTCTTCGCGTACTTAAAAAAAAGTAAAACTCATTTAACAGCAACAGCAAAAGTTTGCACATATTTAAGCCAGAATATAACTATAAAGTAACACTAAAACAGTACCGTAAGTCCATGCATACCACCCTCAATGCTGTTGATTACCCGTGTATATATTGTGTGGGTTTAAGCCGAAAGGAGTTTCCTTACGTCTTTGAGCAGCAGTTGTGTAAAATAATGTTCGGTCTCATTTTCGAAACGGGTTGTTAAAATGACACTTGAAAATAAAAACAAAGAGTGGGGGAATTTTCCAGACCCTACCCAATCCTCTCAATCTGCCACTTTACACTTCTTGTATAAATATTAAAACAAACAACAAATATATTAATTCTAATGCAAATGAAAACACTTCAAATTGTTTTAAAAAGTATTAGTCCTCATACTTTATTTTTTATGAGTTGTTTTATGCATAATTAGTGTGCTTGCTACTCAATTCTGCAAGAACAGTCGCACTTAAAAACATTTTCTTTCATCAAAGTGTTTGACATAGATAAAAACTCCGATATAATTCAAGTTACTTAGGATGTTTCTTCATTCGTACTTTGTGTCTAATGGGTGAAAGATGCATTTGAAGTTCGGTGGTTGTAGAGCTATACCGGGGCTCATCTCCAAGGGGTGAAATAATTGAGGATTTCTTTCATAGGGATCAGAAATTGAGAACTTGCTCACTAGAGTCACTATGAAAAGGAAGATTCTGCTTCTAGCAAAATTTTCTCCCACACAGGATCGTTTTCCATGTCCAAATGCAGCAAACCTGGAAATAATAAAGAAACAATTCAAAAGTAAACCTGTAAAGTCGTCTTTTAAACACCAATAGGTCAGTTATGAAAGCAAACGTCTGAGTTGATGGGTCAAATTCTGGTATCATTATTCATAATAGATTAATTTTACAGGAAACCTCGGATTAACGAATTTATGCAAAGCAAACATCACACTGAAATCCGTTTATTTTTCCTTCTTTTCTTCATTTGAACAGTACTTGCTAGTAAGACCAAAATAAACAAGAGACCTAGCTGGAAACAGAATTCCTAAACGATTGACAGGTGTTCTTAAAAACTAAAGCTCTTGGTACTACATGCCTCTCACATTTTGAAATATAATTGATAAGTTTACCTCTTGCGCACAGGAGTGTTGGCAGCCAATAGCCGCTGCTCAGGATCCAGGAATCGATCAGGATTGAAATCAAACGATGTAGGTGTATCTTCGTCAGTGTGGTTTATGTCCCACAAATTAATTATCATCTAAAATAAAACAAGCAATTTATTAATTGGGTCAATATTTGTGCATATGGGAGGATTTTTTATCATGAAGATATCCTCCTTTGATGTGTTTGTATGAATGATGGTTATATGATTTTTTTGACATTTCTGTTCAGAAAGATTATATGACAAATTCTCTACGACAAATCTTGCAAACCAACAAGAAATCAATTCTAATTGTATATTTCGTGTAAAAGTATTTGAATAAAATTAAAAAACCCTGCAATAGATTTGTATGCATACCATTGTGTCCTTTGGAATATCATATCCCCTAATTGACAATCTTTCACTATTCCTACGCACAGTTATAGGAACATGGGAGATATAACGAAGAGTTTCCAAAATAAATGCTTCGACGTAATGAAACTTTGGTCTATCTTTTAAGGTGGGAATGCCGCTTTTGGCACCCATTAATCTTTCAATCTCATCCCTCATTCTTTGTAGCACATCTTTCCTACACTGTAAAATCCTTATCATGGACAACAGCGTTCCCCTAGTTGTCAGATAACCTAAAAACATCAGTATAAGTTAATATTGATAATAAATTATAATGCAAGAATATTATAGGTATTAAGAATTGCCATACCTGCTGCCATCATGTCCCCCATCAATGAGGATGCACTGCTTTCGTCGATTTCCCCTGTTGCTATGGTCTTTTTAAGAACTGGATACATCGCATCTGAACAGGAGTTATCGTTCTTCAATAACAATCCAAAAAGATTTACTTACATCAAAACTTACATCAAAGCAGAAAGAGATGTCGTTTCATGTTTACGAGCTATAAATGTGTGTACCTCTGCACAATGTATTTGACATTCTGACATAATTTTTTGATCACGACTGCATTGGGTTTTTTTTTCAAACTTACGGGTGTTTATGAGCTAGCAAGTTCACATTTTATATTTTTTACAGTGTAGATTTAAGTGACAACTTTCAATGTATAAAAAAATTTCTTAAAATTCAATTTATGGAACCATCTCCTACCATTGTCTATCTTAATCACTTACATGAACAGTGCGTTATGCACCGAAGAATATACATGTACATTTCTGCGACACTCGAAGCAACATTGAGTAAATTGCAGCCTTCATGGTAATCGAAAATTTACACTTTTGATTTCACATTATATTGATTTTGCTGATGAGTAAAATCAGCTACAGTGATCTACATATAAACGTCATTTAAACAGAAATGACAAATATTTATCACAAGACAAAACTGCGTCATTCAGTCAACTCAAAAATCTGAAAAGACGACTGAGTGGCATTCTGTCACATCTTAGATTTTCAGTTAAGTCAATGGGGTAATTTTATCCAATATATGAAGCTTTATATATTTTTAAAAGAATTCTATACCCTTGAGTGAATTAATTATTATTGATAACATACTACGTTTAAGGTGTTACTCGCTGTCCTTAATTCTTTAGTATCGCATGCGCGATTGAGGTCTTGCTGATGGGATTCGATTCAAATGAAGAATTGGCAATGGATCAAATAAGGACCAGTTTATAATAATTTACGATGAAAGTCAATTCATATGTATATTTCTTCAGTGATGTCGGTTTAGTTTCATTGGCCGTACACATCCCTAAATAAGGTTTCACACGAAGTTGTTTTTGCTTTTGTGTAATTCATTGCTAAAATGAATTTCAAGTTATTGTTCAAGAGAGGCTATCGGTAATAGATATTATTACTAATAACATACATGTATTTTGTTAATTGATGTAAAGAAGTTTAGAATAATAAGACATTTACAACCTTTTTAGTATATCCCACTGGTGATAGGCATTTCAATCTATTATTGATAAGAATTTCTTGTACAATAACCGTTTGAAATTCATTTTAGGAATGCATTGCATAACAGCACTTGTTTTTGGTTTGAAACCATGTCCAGGGATCTGTACCATCAATGACACATCTACAAGCTCTCAATGTATGATCACTGATGTATGTATATAACATCTTAACCTTAAGTCAAAATCTTTATGTTGTACTAAAATGTTGTAGAAGTCAAGCAGACCAAAATAAAAATATTTTTTAAAATTGCTTTACAAAAGTGTTGTTATCTACAAATTTAGAGATTAATTCAATAATAATTTTACAGGCGATTGAAAATTTAACCTAAGTATAAGTCTGTTTCATGATCCCGGAGCCTTTTATCGTTGTTACAGGATTTTTTTCTCATTTTAACGAATTTTTTTCTTGAAATAAGATTTCCAAATAAAAAAAAATATTTTGAAAAAAAGAACAATTCTAGGTACACAATTATAAAAATATAAGAAATGATTGCTTGAAATTTTCTTGTTTTTCATGGAACTTTTTTTTAAAGGTTAGTATCCTTTTCTTTTCTTATTGTGTAGATTATAAATGTGCATAAAGTTTGAATGAATGATTAAGAAATGAAATTTGTTAAACCATTGCCTCTGTTTAGATTTTCATTCAAGTGGTGCATGTCGCAATAACAAAAATAATATGATCACTTACCGGCAAGTTACTTTCCAGAACACTTGTGAGTTTCTGTAAGATGTCCATGACCTTATGACATTCAGTAGAAAACTCACTTTTAAAGTTGATCAGGAACGGAAACATGTTGTATATTGCGTTATGCCGCTGATCACCGGCAACGTTGGCTGCATGGTCAAAAGTCTTCAATAATCGGTGCATTTCGCTATCTTTTTCACACCGCTTCCCAATCAACTTAATCAAAAGAAAGGACAATGTTTGAAAACAACTATTTTATTTCATTGATCATTTTATTAAATGTTAAAAAAATACTCAGTATATAATATTAAAAATTCATACATTGTTATGTTTTAATGTAACTTCACTCTGAAAAAAAAATAAAAAACAGCAAAAACATACCAATAGCTCCACATTGCCTATTATGAAATCATCAACTAAACTAACTGGATCTACGATTTTTCCTGACAGTTTTTTAATATCACAAATCATGTAGTCCAGTTGTTCTTTGATCCTGTTTTCCAGCCTATGAAGACCTTGTCCATAAGCTCTTAGAACAGCATATGCGATTTTTCTTCTCTTTTTGTACTCCGAGTCATAATCAGGTGTGAATATGATCCCTGTTCGATTCCGTAGAACCACCCTACTAACAAATGTGTGTGGTCTGCTAGCCGTCCATGTGGCGTAGGGCTCAGTCTGGCCTAATTCTCTACACAGAGAAGACGAAGAGACAACAAGAATCTCTTTTCCAAATAAGGTAATCTGAAACATGTCTCCATATTTCTTTCGCATTTCCGATAGTTTGACATGGAGGCTTGACAATCCGAGATGAAAAGCAGACCCAATCCATGGCCATCCTCTCGGTCCAGGTATCCTTTTACTTAAAGTTCTATTTTGAAAACGTATGGATGCATAGATTATAAGGCTAATGGTAAGGATCACAAGAATTGCGTTGATAAACCTGTCTTCAGGAACATACTCCATATTTGATTTTGCTGCGGATTAAAATAAAGTCTAACATTTATATGTTTTTAAACTGTCTTTCATTTGCCATTAAAAAAATGATGTCATACATAAGAAGTATCGGTTATCAATGAACTTTAAAAACATATGAAAAAGTGATATAATTGGTAGTAATTAAATAATTTTCCTGTATGAAATGATTTACAAGATACTTACATCTCTTTATAGACCTGTTCGAACTCCTTGTCTCCTCTGATAAATCATGGTCCTCTCCGGATGCATAAATTACTAAGATCCTGAATTATCACATTATTTGGATGCGAGGCTATTGATAAACACTTGATACTTTACATGACTGCTAAAAAAATTATAATATCGCTTACTCTGCTTAGAATAAGGAAGTACGATAAAGGAGAGATACATTTGTAGGCTTCGCAGCAATAGTGTTGGCCAAAGCAACCAAAAAAAAAATTAAATGAAAAAGCATTTTGTAAGGAACAAATTGCATTTAACCGATCCATGTGTAATTTTATATGACATTCATTCTTTTTTTACGTTATTTTTTTATAAAGAAAGCCCCCCCCCCCCCCAAATGATGGTAGAGTTCTGAGTTTTGCTGACAAAAATGGGTTTTACAACAAAATGCTCAGTGTGTTTACCAAAATACCGACATATTATTTAGCATATTAAACATTTTTCGACAATACACAATGTAAGTTTTGTTAAAGTACTTATAGTTTGTTTCTCATGCATTTCTTTTTTTATGAATGCCATTCCATTGATTTAATTTTCTTAGAATCAAACCGACTATGTTTCATAAACCCTTTCTTCCTTCATCCATTGTGATGGTAGATATGGCTTGAAAGTTAAATCCACAGTGCGAGAAGACAATATCGAAGGGTTCATGATTAGACAACTCAGTTGAAGGATTCTTCAGCAGAAAATATATTTTGCAAATCACAGGAATATACATTATACAATAATGTACATTAAATATACAATATACATTAAAAATAGGTTAAAATTGTATAAGATAATACAAAATAGGAATGAAAAAAGTGTTTTACCATGGTAATAGAAGATATAATTAAAGAGAGAGAGTGAGAGAATAAATGTTATTTTCTGTCAATTTCTAATATAGCTTGAGGGTGCACGTGATTGTGCTCATATACAATAATTTCTATTTCTTCATATCTGGAATAAAATCAAAAGGGAAAACTGAAATGTAAAAATATTGTTTGTTTTCTTTTAACTTGACTATAAAACAAATGCAAGTCCTTTATTAAAATTTGTTGCAATTGTAAGTACATGTATATCATTTCATGAATCATATAATATTGACATCACATGTTAAGCTTGAATTTCCTATCTCTCAATTTATCTCAATGCATATAAGTATCGAACTCGGGGTGCCTCAGTTAAGTATCAAGCTCTGTATCAAGTGCAAGCTTTAGAAAATTGTCATTGAACTTTGCTATTTCTCTAATTTTGCATCTTCAAATCAATTGTACCATAAATTAAAATTCATGTTTAATAAAACTACGACTCATTTGATGGATTCTTCAACAGAAATATCAAGCAAAGAGGAAGAATTTGCACACAAAATTAAATCCTAGTAAAACAAATGATTACAAGGTATTTTCTGCGATATTCCTTTCTACAAAACTTGTGTAATGTAGTTATTCCTAGTATGAATTGTGCTAATAAACTTTGCTTTCTAGTAAACTGATATTGGCGTTTGAATGGATCAGACTGTGAATTTTTTCTTACATTATTAATGTCTGTAAGTGTTCAAGTGTTGTCAAAGTCGCCAACTGTGTTTTAACTAATTTTATTTCCCTTTTTTACCTTTAAGGTCAAAAAGTTTTAAAACTTGTAATCATCAAAATCACCCGACCTTTTTGCTTAAAAGAAAAAAATACCATACCTCTGTTTACCAATACTACGTATATTGTACCACTTTTTTTCTTCTGTTTCGAAAATACACGCCAAGTTACGAACCGCCAATCTTTAAAAACACCTTGTTTTTATTTAAAATTTGCAAAATTATGTTGCATCCTAAACCAAACATAGCAAGGATAATAAATAAAAGATAATTCTTCATGAAAATCAATTTGTTTATCTGTTTGGAAAAATAAATTACCGTATATCCGGGTTTTTTCGCGTGTTGCAAATTTTTCGAAAAAAAGGTAGATTTGTACAGTTTTTATTTTGCGTAAGTTATTTTTTGCGATTTAAAAAAATTAAAAAAAAAAAAAAAGGTAACATTTTTATGACACACAATAACCGATATAATTTTTGCGTGTTTTATTTTTTGCGAATTAAAAATGATCGCAAAAAATGCGAAAATTAGATCATCGCAAAAATACCGGATATACGGTCAACTTTTTAAAGTTAAGCTTGGAGAGACTCCATGTCACCATTTTTAATACATGCATTTTCCCCCAAGAAAACTCAATTGTCAATTTATAAATTTTAGGCTTACTGAATAGGGGCTAAGTACATAGGCACTAACGTATTTATTTGTGTTTATCTACTAAAGTAAATTCAGTTATACAATATTTTAATAATTTTAATCAAGCTGACTCAATTAAGTCGAAGAAATTATATCAGCATCGAAAATATTGAGTTAACTTGCAAAGACTTTAAAAAATATCTAAATTAAGAATTTTATAGTTAATAGTCGCATGTGTTTTTCGTCGTGCATCATGTACATAATGTTTTCAATATTTCCACTTTCATTCCAATTAATCCAAAAAAAGAATTGACCAGTTTTGAATGTACAGAACGATAATATGTTCCGTACAAGGTCCATTAACAAACACCTGCATGGGGTGCAGAATTAACATGAATTCAAATTATAATTGAAGATATCTTTAATTACTAATATTTGAAGATACATGTATCAACAAATTCATTTGATTCGTACAACAATTCAATTAAAGATCTCTTCATATCATAATGATAGGTTCAATTCTGAATTAATACAGGCATGTAGTTGTTGATATAATTGACTAAATTGCTGAACTGATGACTCGATAAATGAATTGCTGATGTCTTCAAATGAATTATGATATCAACAACTGGATTTTCAAGAAAAATTTCTTAAATTAAATTTTACTCTGTTTAGAAGAATTGATGCGCGCAAAATCGTCGTAATAAGATATCTTGAATCAAAAAATCATTTCAACTGAGATTTAAATAATTCACACCTCCTTATAAAGATAAAAAACACGTCTCTGTGAAGATAATGAAATCCACTTACCTATGAAGATATACAGGATAGTTGAATGTTGAATTTATTTCACGAGTGGGACAGGATTTTTTAAAAATATTTTCACTCGTGCTTCACAATCGCGAGTATATAAAAAAAAAAACCTGTCTCACGAGTGGAATAAATTCAATATCCAACTACAAAACATAGAATTTATCTGTTTATTACATTTTCTTTACACGGTGTCATAGGCTGTGTCATCATAGCTTAGCAATTGTAAGATTGAAAACATTGTATTAAGGGTCCTCCACACACCCCCAGCTTTTGTTCTCATATTACTGAGCATTACTTTTAACAAGCATATCAACCTTTAAAAAACTGGCCAAGAATATAATTTATACTGATTTTTTAAAAATTTAATTTCATAATTTTAAGAATTTTTTTCCACCATTTTTTGATAAGTAGCACAACATTTTTTTTTCCTGGCTTATATTTTTAAGGTCAGAAAAAAACCACAAAACTTAATTTTATCAGTCAACATATTTTTTAAAGAAATTAATAAAAGTTATAAAAATAAATATAACTCATTTTCTCTAAGATACATGGAGCAAAAAAATTAGGGAAGACTCCCGGTAGTGTAGAAGAAACATTATGAATTAAATTACAACAAAAAATTGAATTAAAATCAAACTTATTGATTTAGAGAAATTATTTTCAAAATCTTTGCAATTGGTATCAAAGTTTGTTTTAGAGTTATCTTTCCTATTACCCAGGGCTCAAAAACTTTGGTAGGTCTCCGCATACGTCATCATACTCAAGTTACTCGTTATTGGCATCTGAACTGGACAGACATAAATGAGCAAAAGTAGAGAGTATCAATATTTATAAACACACGAGATAGGTATTATTGAAACGCACAAATCAGTGTGGTGTGCAAAAATATCTACTTTTCACAACAAACTTTGTTGACATTATGGCGATGGATTGATTAGCCTGAAAGTATAAATAAACAAAAACCTTTTCTCTTAGATATACCTGTTATCTACGAATCATTACGCTACAAAAACTCAAAGGTCTGTTTTTCTTTTATTGAAAAAATCGACGCCTATTTCTTTCGGCCACGTCATGATCATGCCATTTGTTCACTGTTTATGATAACTCTAGGATGCCGCTCTCAGTTTAGAGCATAATTTTTGTTTGACAAAACCATCATCGCTAAAGCGTTTATAAGACTCTCTTACAGGCTGTGGCGGGGAAATCGTCAGTGCACAAACTATATAAAACCGGAAGTAAAAGTATTTTTCCTCGATATACGTCACAAATCACGGGGTGTGGACGACCCTTAAATGGATTTTAACACATAACTGGGGAGAAATTGGCAGTTTTAGTCTTTATCAAGATGGTTTAGTTACTATCTCTATTTTATGACAGGCCAGAAATTATTTTTTACTTACTTTGATATCCTTTCACACTACTTACTTAGTCCTTTTCGTGCTTGTCAGCACATAATGCCGTCACCAAAGACTTCCATGTTGGTCTATCTTGTGTCCATCTCTGGACCTGCCCCCATGACCAGTTGTTCTCTTTTATTTTCTTTCTCCACCGATCTTCTCCAGGTCTCTTTTGGTCTTCCTCTTTTTCTCTTACCGGTTGATGTCCATCTCAATGCAACCCTTGGGAAGGAGGTTGGGTGCATTATACTTATGTGTCCTATCCGCAACCATTTCCTTTTCTTTATAACTTGGGATAGAGGAGTGGTGTTGGTCCTTTTGTAATCTCTTCATTTGAGATGGAATTTGGCCAGAAAATTCTGCGAAGACAACGGGTCTGGAAGGCGTCTAGCTTGTTTGAGATGACTTTTGTTATTTTCAACGATTCAGCACCATACAGGAGGACCCCAAGCACATTACTCTTGAAAATCCTAATTTTGGTATTTATGCTGATCTTTGCTGACCTCCAGATGTTTCGCAGTGAAACATACGCTCCTGTGGCTTTAGAAATCCCAGCTAGTGCATCTACCTCAGAATTGCCATCTGTAGTGATTTTGCTTCCTAGATAGACAAAGTTTGTGACCTATTTTTATATTATTCAGGGTGATGGGTTCGTCTGATTTAGTGTTGACCTTCATGATCTTAGTCTTG